GTTGTTACTTATTTTTAGAAAATTATTTTTTTTTATTATGGTAGATTTAAATAAGTATGTAATAACTAATAAGTTTTTGAGTTTTGAAGTTTCAATATTTATTTTTTATTTTTTTTATTGGTCTTGAAATTATAAATTTCTGCTTCGGCTTCTAAGGCCATTAGCATCACATTTGTATATACATTTTGAGAATAATTTATTCAATTGAAAATTGAGAGAAGAATACAAGTAGAGGAAAAAATCTATATTTTATTAATTCTTTTTTTTTATTCATATTTAGTTACTAATTTTTGGTTTTGTTATTCTTATATGATTTTTTTCAAAATATGAAAGTGTGTTAAATAGTTGGTGGAAAAAAAGTACATATTATAATATATTCAATTTAGCAAATCACTTGATAAATTAATGGTAGGTACTATTATTATTTTATTAATTTATTTTATACATTGTATGTATTTTAGGAATTTTAGAAAAAATAATAATACAGTATAATATAAGATAATTTTCAAGGGACCAGTTAAAAAAACTTATTAAGCATCAAATTTTTTATTTTGTTAATCAGGAGCTTCTTAAAGGAGTTTTACATTACTTTTTAGTTTTTTTACCCTTTTACACTAAAGAATTATTTTAGTAATTAACTAAAATAGGTGCGCGCACAGGGGCAGAGATGTAGCATAATATACTGCCCTTGAAATTTTTTTCAGGCGGCCACCAAGTATTGAATATTGGGCTGCATTCAATTTTACCTCCATAAAATTATATAGTGTACATTGTAAAATAAAATTTTAAAAAAATGTTAAGATATTATTTAGTAAATATTATGTAGAAACGTTTCTATAGCCCTCCCCCACCCTAAATCAAATTTTTGTATTTTTGAGGAGTTTTTCATAGACCTTATACAAATAAGGTCTATGGAGTGTTTCCTAAATAATTATCAAAGTAATTGATAAAAAAAATTAAATAAATTTTGCATTTTTTAAACTCCAATAATTAGTAAATAATTAAATTTGCTTGACCTTTTTTCGAAAATGTACACCAAAACCCTATTTTTAAATATCTTTACTATTGGAAATAAGGCCGAATTAATCTCACGCTACTCCTGAAGTCAAAGTTTGCGTACGACTATGGTAACCAATGTTATAACTACATTTTTAAAATATTAAATTATTAAACTAACCATAATAATTATACCTATTGTTTTCATTTTATTTAACAAGTATTTACTTATGGTGATTCTATTATTTGCAAACCATAACATCTGAGGGTGAAACATTAAACATAATATTATATTGTGAAGTCCAATATAAGAATGTACTGTAGTTTTTTGTGACATTTCCTTTTTGTTTATGAGAAATATTAAATGTATTCTTGATTTTTATATTACTATAGTATTAAATACAGTTTAACTATTATACAAGTACATTTTTCAGAATTGATGCTGTTATTTAAATAAATAAATTGTGATATTATATTTTAAAAATATTTAATTAATAGTTTTATTTGGAGTCAAAGATTAACATCTACACTGTACGTAAGAATGTATAAGGTAAGTAGTTTAAATATTTACTAAATAGTTTATTTTTTATTCATTTTATAAATTTAAGTATCTTAATTAGTTAATACTTCAAGTATAGGTATAGTTTCAACTTTCAAGTTAAGCAATTTAATTTCAATAAATAAGCACAAAATTAATTATTTTAGTACTAATATCATTAAATAATACATGTTAATATTATATTATAATTTAATGATTTCCATTACTATTTTTTTTTTATTTGAGTTCCATTTTGTTTTGATTTTAAAATGCAATTTTTAAATTTGTGTGAATTATACATATTATATTAAAATATGGTTTGTATTATTTTAAAATTTCATTTAATTTATCTTTTCTTATAGCAAGCAAATGTTCACTTAACTTTTTTTAAATAAATATTTAATTCTCTATTGCTATATATAGCTCAAAAGGTGTTTAAAACCAGTCGCGGTGTTTTCATTTATAAATTATATCCTGAAGTTTTGATAAAGTACTTTTTTTTAATCTGTATATTTTGGATTTCATAAAAAATAAAATTATTGAAATTTAATTATATTATATATTTGTGAATTTATTTGTCTTTTATTTGTTGCTTTCTTCAAATATTAAAAGAACAAATTGTTTGTTTTCCTGCTGTATAATTATTAAAAATAATTAATTTAGAGGATAAAAATAATAATATTGGTATTATTGAATTTTCAAACGTTGTAATTGCACTTTTATTTTAAAAATAATGGATTTTTTCTGTTTAATTAGGCTTAATGAAATGCCCTAACAATTGCCTAACAAAAATGCACCTTACTGTACGACGTATTCTCATAAAAATATAATGGTTTAAATTATAACCATAGTAGGTACATAATTTCTGTCATTCTTAGTTGTGTATTTGTTTCTATATCCTAATACGTGTGCATATGAGCTCAATGTCAAATATTACTGCCATATAGGTGATGTGATAGTAGAAGGGGTTTGTAACGATATTGGTATGGACAAGACAGAACCATGAATGCCGCAGTGTTGTTTTAGCGGTCGACCTCATTGGCGGTATTTTACTACCTTTATTTTACGTGTGTAGTAAAGCCTATTAAAATTTGTTTCCCCAGAGAAAGTTAAATTAATATACATATTGGTGAGAGTGTTCTTCTAGTCAATTACAAGAGTTTTGGTAAGATTCTACATATTTATTGACTCGTTTTACTATTATAATGTATTATCGTATTTCGATTAAAGTAGCTAACAAAATAATGTCATATCTACGATATCCGATAGGTATCTAATATTCATTTCATTATAATATCGGACTTTAGAATTTAATAATTGAGGTCATTAACTCATAATTCGTTTTGTTATAATATGTGGGATATTATCAATTTTTAATACAACATCGTGTTTTGTATGTTATAAATCTAATAGGTCAATAATTTTACCATAGTAGTGGAGCCGTGAAGGTAATAGCAGATGCCGATAGTTTATTCAGCTGGTTATATAACTATCCTAAAAAAATACAATATGAAATATAATTATTTTTCTATCGTTCGAATATGAGTAGAGTTTAAAATGCATAGATTTTTTCACGTTGGTTGCTATAAAATATAACATTATTTATATACAAACAGTTAGTACTTAAATAATTTATTGTTGTGATATGTAAGTAGAAATAATGATTATACATAGGTTTTAAACATATAATAAAAATAATTTAAAAAGTAGATAAAATAATAAGGGTGAGAAAAGAAAAAATGTTTTTACATAATTAGTTTTTTATATATTATTCTTATGTATAATGCATTTCTAAATAATTTAAATTATTATTATCGATTTGTTTATGATGAAATCATCTACATGTTAACATTAATAATTTGAAAAACATATATAACAATATGTGTTTTAAATGAATTATATTATTTTAATAATTGTATATAAAACTGTATTATATAAACTAAATTTACTCATAAATCAGAATAGGTTTATACGTGTGTATCGTAAATGACCTTAATGAAAATATACTACAGTAACGTTGATTAGGGGCACTTTAACGGGTTAAAATTTTATTTTCATTGAATGCACCATCTCCAAATTGACGCCGGTTCATAACTGAGTTTCAATCATATCTACATATCATAATACCTCTGAACATTATGTTACCTATTGAATTTAATGCAGTTTCTTTCGTTCCGCTGTTACTTCATTCGATTTAAATGACAAATTAATTAATATTATCTTCAACCTGAATGTACAATTTTTGTATAGAATTACAGTATTTTTAAATTATCATAATACTATTCGTGTGGGTAATAGGTTATAGGGTACCTATATTTTATGTAATTTGATAATTTATATTATATAGGCGTACTACGTTCTGTTGGAAGTTAGTTTTCGTCGTTCTAAAACATAATAGATAATATTTTTTTTATAAAATATTGAAATGTAAAAATTCTATATTCACTATTATTTGAAAAATTAAAATTGCTCTTGTACTTGCGAAGTAAGTTAATAAACTAAAATTTGCATGTGCCAAAGATCAAATGGTATCGAAAGTAATTTCTTTGTTTTTTCTGCAATATTTGTAAGTAAATTACCGCGATAAACTACATGTTGCGATTAGGAAAAAGCGATTTGTATAAAGTAAACGTTTCAGTAGATTAATAAACATACGATTCAAATTAAATAATACTTAATGACTTACAAATTATAGTAATAACAATTTCATATAAATTATTGATATTAAAATATTATGTTATACTTATTTATATTGCATAACCATATATATTAAAATTATAATCCAATGAATTCTCAACATTTACTTCATATATCTGAATTTATACAATTTTAAAATTTTGTTGAGTGGAAATTGTAATTTTATTTTGGTTAAGTTGATTTTTTTAATCATTTGACTTAATTTATTGAATAAAAATAAAAATAATTCTCATGAATAATTAAAAATACCAGTTTTTCCATCGGATAAATAACAATAAAAAAAAAGAAAAATTAAAGCTAATAAACTGTTAACCATCTCTCTACCTATATATTATATATTCATAAAAAAAAAACGAAATTGAATTAAAATATCAAAATATTAAACATCCTAAAGTATATTATAATTCAATCTTAAAATAAATAGTTATTCTATTTTATTTGTTTAACCTATATTTTCTTCTTCAATTATTGCTTTGGCAATTTTAATTTCTCCTTGAATTTCCTGTTTGTTTTGATTTTCAAGGTCAAAATAGTTAACTTTGCCGTTTAATAGGAATTATGAATTTACGTCTAGTTACGTATCACGTATGTCCGTATGTGTAAATTAAAAAAAGGGAGAGATAATAAAATAGGTCTGTGTAATATGTATTCGTATTCTATGTAAATTACGTCACTCTCGTAATTTAAGCTAATTAAATTCCTCACTAAGTATATAACCTTAATTGATGAAATAACAAAATATATTATATTTTCCAGACCATTATAAATTATGCCAGTGCCAAATGAAAAAAATGAGACAAATAGTCATAAAAAACAAAGACGATGGTCATTGATTGGAATTTTATCAAAAAAAAAGAAATTGAAAAAAAGTCAAGAGAGTGTAGACTTCTGTCCGTATGATGGGAAAATAAATCAAAAAGTGGCACACAACAACCACTTAAAACGTTCTACCGACTGTCTTATCGAGCAGTACACTTGTAGTCCCAGGCTAATAAGAAGATGTAATTCATTACAGTACACAAATAACACGTCCACGTATGCAAATATTAACAGCCAATCTTCATCTAACGAATGGAAAACATCACAACAATCCGTATATAGCTCTAGTTCAAGTGCTTGCTATAGTGATATCGGTGTGTATAGAAGTTGCGGTAATAGTAGCCAATCGTCGCATTATATTAAAGAAGAGGACGAGCAGACACCTTCAGTTTTAAAAAGTGTTCCGTTTAGATGTTCGTCTGAAATCGGATATTACCAATATAAAACTAACTATAGTAAAAAACACCCAAAACCATATGTAAATCCAAACAAATTAATTGGTAAGAAGATTCCACCTCCTCCTCCCCCCAGAGACCCTAATATTACAACGGTTTATTATTTTAGAAATAATAGACTCATGTCACGAGAATCAGATCCCACGTATTTTAAACAGGGATCTAATGATAATATTCCAGATAAAGTCAAGACTCTTGTTGATAACATAGGATGTCGAAATGAAAATTACACAAAAGAACCACCCAGAAGTAGACGACCCATTCAAATCTGTGACGTCGAGACCTTGTCGTCTGAATCTGAAAATTCCGTACCCAAAATTCAAACCGTTGAAGAAGCACTTCAAGAACTGGAGGACATGTATAACAGTTTAGGACTAAGTGACGAGGATCTACTGGACAGAGCTGAACGGCGTGACCTTCCTACAGTACACCAAAACATGCGATACCAAAGTTCCGACGAGCTGGACTGTATAACGGTTAAAAGAGTATTGCCCAAAACCCGACGGTCAGGCGTACCAGATATTATATCCGATGATATGGCTTACAGAAGGCTGAATAAAAAAGAATCAAAACGGCAAAGTTTTATTCCTGGAAGTTTCCTCTTAGTTTTACCGACAGTTTATAATCTCGATAAAATACCTAAACCGTCGTCCGGAGAGCCTGACATTACACTAGATGACGTGGTTTTCAGAAGCCAGCGACAGCACCTCAACTTCCTAAAGATTTCTGATCCGCAACCGCCGTTTGGAATACCTCTAGGTCCAATCGTGAGCGCCGCTCCTTCTGATTATTTGCATGCGGTGCCTGAAGGCCGTTATAAACCTTCGTTCCACCCTAGAAAAATACCAGACACTGTTGAAGACGATTTGGCATTTCGGTCTCTTAGGAAAGACCATAAGTTTAAAACTTGTATTGATTTTTCGTTCGTTCATAGAAATCGATTCAGAATTGATGACCTGATTCCCAAACTGGATAATAATAGAATAAAAAACGATACTCATTGGATTATAAAAAAAAGACCATCTGATTACAGCTATAATAAAAAAAAACAAGTAAAACTCTCATATGACGATTTGGTCGATTCTATCATAGCTGACAACCAACAAAACTTGATGGTAGTCAAAATAAATCATCATAAACCAATTATGCTGACAGGATTCACTTTTACCGAAGCCAATCAATTAAGTAAGTCGCTTTTTTGCACGAACTTATTACAGCATGAGCCTCATAAATTATGTTTAACGAATGACACTTGTATTGCAAACGATGCACCACCGCTAAAGTTAAAATTGATTTGTCCGTTATCGAACGAACGAAACGCAAACGGAGCGTCGCCCGTTGCTCTAACGTGCTCTAAAAGTTATCACGTTGCAAATTATGCCACTGATGAGTATCTAAAATATGCGGCTAAAAAAACACCTAGCGCGTCCATGCAATTCACAAATTTAGGTTTGACGTGCAAAAGCGTTGACAATAAAAACCAACCGAATTTTAGAGAGCTTATTAAACGAGAGTACGCCCATAGGTATCTGCGGTCGACCGATAACCGATCAAATGATGGTTTCGTGGTGGTAGGCAATAAACACGAGCTAGACGAAAATATCAAATACCAATATCCAAAATATAACGAAGAAGATAATACCCGTGCTTGTGCCACAGTCGACCAACCGGCCAATGTACTCTCCTCCATCGTCGCCGAGCCAAAGACCGAATGCCTACACATCCACAGTGACGAACCTGCACCAGTGGTGTTTGAGTCAGCCTTTTCTTCTGCAAGTGCATCTGAAAACCGGACTGAGACTTCTAATAATAAACAACCTAGTAAAGACCTATCATCATCCCTATCTACCGTTAGTGTGCCGTCGATGGAGTATCCAAACCTTGTGCCCGGATATCTGGAGGTGTGCTTGTACATCACAATATATATTTATCAATTATTTAGTGTAAACGCATACGGCACTTTTATAGCGTTGATCTTTCTCATAACTTTACATCTGTGTAGACGCTTTTCGTGAAGTTGTAATATGCTCTTGTACAATTTTGTTGAATTAATATTTAAGCTTTTTGTCACTTTTTTTATTTATTTACTACCATAATTATTATTATTATTATTATTATCATTACTATTTATTTATTAGGTACACATGTAGATGTTCGGAGTAAACCAAATATTTTTGTGTACTTACGGTACGTTTAGTCTGTTTCGTAATATAATAATGCAATGTACACGCTGGGAGAAAATAAAAACTGCACAACGCATATTAAATATTATTATTATTATTGTTACACAGTTGATTATTTTCCTTATCCCTCCCCTTCCTTACTCCTTAGATATTATAACTCACTCACTCTCCGCCTGAGCAATTTAGTCTGTGCAGGCTGTTGTCGTAAAATTGTATATACATATATAATACTACCTTTTTGTAATAATATATGTAGTCAGTCGAAAAATAAAAAAAAACAAAACATATTGAGTTTCAAAAATATAATGACAGAGAATTAACACACACAAGCATGGTTTATGTATAGATGTATATTCTATAGTATGATAATTAAATTTAATCTTGACCCGCCAAATGAAGCAACACGAATAGTGTTGACAATGGAGACATACTACAAAGGTGTGTCATATCGTCGAAATAATAATAATTTTGTTCGAATCGTTATAGCAATTATTGTTTTAACTATTTTTTTTCATATATTAGATTTTATTCATAAATATAATATAGTTATATCGAAGCAATTTACGATATCAGCCATATTATTACAGTTATTTCTTGTACACTGAGATAAATTATACTGTGCTCGACGTTCGTAACATAGTAACTGTCGAGTTTTAAAAATTAAGTCATTATTCTCTCGTTTTTTTGCAAGTCTACTCAAGTTGTATATATATAATACATTCAATCGTTGAACGAGGTGGTTAACTTTCTTATTTTGTTCACATTGACAATTGATTAGTGACAACTTTCTCTAAATTTAGTTCTCGAATTCTTCACTCTGTATATATGTATATTTTCGCCCCGAAGATATATACAACTTGCTTTTCCTCTCTGTAATACCTACCTGCTTATGTACACCGTTTATGTGTGTATAGTAGAAATTATGCATAAACTAATTTTCAAGATTTGTTTCCCCTTGGGCCTTAAGGTATAGATATTAAATATATGTAGTGAAAAGCCTAAATATTGTGTTTAACAACGCAGTGCACATACCACTAATACCTACCTAATTTATATTAGTCTAAACATACTAATCACATACTATGTATTGTTGAGCACACGGCTATCAAAAAAACTATTCTTGAATTATAAATAACTACTTGTGTTTTGTTACTTATATTTATAAGTATTATAAGCATAACCTACTTATTTGTACCATTATATATATATTATTAATTTTTTTCAGGACGACTGGAATGTAACTTAACATTTAAAATCGGAAAAACTCCAACGTATTATGATGTAAGTCAATTTAAATGCATTACACACAACATGTAATAATAGTTAAAGTATTTACTCAGTAGATTATGTACCTATAAAATTTTAAATCTTACCTATATTTTTAACATTTTATTCACTTACATAAATTACAATAATTCAATAATTGCTACCTATGTATTCATATTTATAGTGTATTTATTATTTTAAAATTATCATAACGGGCATATCTACACAAATAATTTAGTAATAAAATTAAAATAAATAAAATGTAAGAATTTTAAATTTAATTTGAATAACTTAATAAATAGTTACCTATTAGTTATTTAAAATTAAATATGCCTGTGGTTTGAGACGAACAGATATTACTTGACTGTTTAAATATTGTCGGTTTGGATGAAAGGTTGAAAATCTCTGACGTAGTTATAAAAAATTAAGTAGGTACCTAACAACTTTGCCTACAAAAAATATATATTTTTAAAATTAAAGAATTTCTCGATAAATGCCTTAATGAGAACATCACGCAGTAATATGTTGATACTGAAATAATAAAATGTATCATTTTTATATGGCTATAATGGTTGCTATTCAGTATTACTATTATCAGTATTAATTACACTACTATTTTTTTTAAAATTGTATGTTGTATTTTACTAGATACTAATTATGGTAACAGTAACATCAACATAAAAATTAACATTACTATTATTTTATTTCCCACCATGAACCCCGGAGAACTTTTACTTGAAACTTAAACAAGTCCCTTAAAAAAAAAAATAAGTATTCAAAATTACAATTTAATATTTTTTAATAATTTATAAAACGTTTGCTCATGTTATTATTTTATTCTGTTATCCACTAAAAATTATTTTAATGTTATTGTTTTTTCCTGTTCATACAAAAATTAAAATAATGTTTTTTTTTTCCATTGCGCTGATAGCCCGGCAATATACTGGCTTTTAGCTGCAATGTTTGTTAATTGTATAATAAAATACATATTATTATCATTGATTATGCATACTAGTCAATTAATATTTATAATTTATTTATTAATATTTATATATGTATTCATAATCAATGATATAATACATATTATATGATATATTATATACTATACGTATATTAACGATATAATATTAAGTTATAACATACATCATACATGCGTTGGACTTGTAAGTCATCAGTTACATACTGTGGCTATCAAATTAAAATATTGTTTTATATAATATTATTATTAAATCTAAAGACAATACAAGCTATACAGATATTAATCAGTCGTTAATTCTAAATGAAATTTATTTGATTTTTATACGGATTATATTTAATTATGTTTTAATCGTGAAATATTGAACAGTAAACGTATCATGACAAAAATAAGTATAATTATTAACTACTATATTTTTCAAATCTATGTAACTATATAATAATATCTGAATGTCTAGAATAACAAATAACTTTAAAAAAAAAACTTTACTACTTCGAATAACATTTGAAGGATTACCTATATAAATAAAGTATTTTAAAATCATAACTGCAGTAAGAAGATTAAAATAATGTTTTTAAGAATATTACACTATTGCAGTACTTATATTATATTAACACAGATTATTCGATTAACCGTGTTTATATTATGTACCTACTTAATATAAGTATATATATAGATGCTGATGATGTCATAATAATTGTCGACAATATAGTTTATCTTAAAATTCTTTTACCGTAATAAGTAATAATAGCAATAATACTAAAAATGTTTAAATCAACCATTGTTGTGACGAAATATTGTGGAACCGTGCTAGCTGGTGTTCTGATATTTTCTTACGATATTTTCTTTGTTTTCCAAGAAGCTAGTCTATATTGTCAGATTTCACTAAAATCATTGAGCGTGTAATAGACCAAAGCTGGAAAACGCTATAGGTACCTTTCATTAATGCTAAAACGACGGTAAATCATTCGATTGTGAAGGTCTATTAAATACTGGAGGGGATCTGTTACTCTCAAACCATGTAAGGTTGCATTATTGCTGTTAGGAAAGATGTTATTCATTAATTCACGCACTTCGGTCCAGCTCGACTAGTTGTTATTACGCGATGTAACAAACATTATAGTTCGTTGGTATATTGTGAATTCATATACTATATTGTTACTTTTTTTTTTTCAGCTCAAAATGCCCTAATTATTTATCAGATTCGTATGTAAGTAATTATAATTTTTATTCGTTCGAACACAGTATTATTCCATTGAACTTGCCTAATCAAATTTCATATATCAATAATTATAATAATCGTCACTGCAGCAGTATGGACCATAATCACCAACCCCACTACCTTCGCCATCAACCAAATAGTTCCAAATCTATTTTGAAACGGAAATCTCTTGAAATAATGCCCACCGACGAAGACGGTCTGATGACGCCCGCGATAAAGGCGGACGTCAACGCAGACCCTCGGCTACAGCAATGTTCCTTAAAAACGTCCAACCACAAGTCATTCTGCAGGCAGGGCATACTAAAAAAACAGTCCGCCAGTTTTGACGACGAGTCTACACAGAAACCCATTTTGAAAAACCGCTGTCAGTCTTGCGATGATGATACGTTACTCGCCAACAATTTTAGCGAACTCCATTCGATTTTGAAACGGAAAACGAGCGAACCGTCGCCGGAACCACCGTCACATGGCATACTAAAGAGACGTGGCGAAAGGGACGTCCGCCCGCCTCGGGATCGCTGTCAGGCGGCAGTGGTGGAAGAGTCAAACCGAGATTGTCTCAGGCCAATTTTGAAGAAGATTTTGTCGTCGGCGGCAGTGGCAGTAGCGGACGACAAAAGGCCGATTCTGAAGTCGAAGTCAACGGCTGACGGTCTGACCAAGTGTAGTTCGTCGTCCAAACGACCATCGGTCGCCCAGCGGATATCTGACCTGGAGTCCGGGGTCGTCAGAGATGATCCTCCCGGCAGCATCCGTGACTGCAGACTGCAGCACACGCGTGGCGCCCGGGACCGGGCGAGGTTTCGCACGCAGCCTGTGACTCCCAGCGAAATCAATGCCGTTAAAAAGTACGTTTTTCAAGGTGACAATCGCGTAAATATGATAATATGATGACGCGCGTATTGTGTTGTCATGCGGTTTATTACATTTATCGTTCTAGAACTACTGCTGTTACTACGCACTCGGAAAACGACACTCATCAGATCGTAAGAAACGTTTCGACACCCGGCTGCAGCGGTCGCAGTTGGGCTGATAACGAGAATGTTGTCGCTGCGACCTTGAAGCGCACCAACAGCGTTTCGGTGAAAAATCGTGAATTCCAAAGTATTTTCGATAAGACCACTACAGATATCTGCCTCACATCGTCAGATGTCAACAGTAATATCTGCACAGGTATTTATTTTATTGTTATGAAGTACGTGTTTTGTTGCCTTATCTTTTAAACCATTTTTTTATGATAAATTTATTCAGCTTTATATAAAAAAAAAATTAATTAGTATAACAATAATAGGTAATAACGATAATGATAATAACCTGGATACCTAAGTTAGATAACAAAAATAATTGCTCTAGAGAATAATTATCGTATTTTTTTTATGTATTTTAATATGATATACTGACGTATATTCTAATTAACGGATTTTTCTATGGGCGTTTGAACTTTTGGTTTTAAAACACCGTAATATATACCTCCGCGTAGATTTAGTAGATTTTGTATAGCGTTTTTATTGCTAACCGTTTTATTTGTAAACATGTAAAGAACAATCATCAGATAACCTACTAGCCACTAGGTAATTAAAATACTAAAAATCACTGTTGTCAATTTGCTCTTGATTTGACTTGACCTGTATCATGCATACATTCCTACCAATTACGCTGCTACTTAATTGGGTTCATTATATAAAACTATACTATATGTTAATTGCTGATATAATATTTAATAGTTTTACTGAAAATATGTATTATATTGTATATTATGTATAAATAGCCAAAAGTAGACCGTCGAAATATAAACAGTGCCAAGAAAAGAAGCTGAATGCTGCCAATCGTTACTCGACGCAGCCAGTGACTAACCACGAATTACAAGAAGCTAAAAATCTGAACAGTGCTAAATGCAAAAACGATGATGATAATGGTATGTCAAGTACTTGTAGTAAAGTATTATGTAAATATAACAATGATTACAATTAGCTTCAGTAGTATACTAGACTATTAGTACTGTTTCTAAATAATAAACAAATATAATATGTACAATATTTAATTTAGTTCTTATACTATCTGAAATTAACATGCTGTATTTAAACTAATAGTATTTTTTATATAACGTAGTATTTTATTTTAAATTTTAATTTATTCACATTTGGCTTGATTTGAAAATATCTATAGTTTTTATTTTCAAATCTAATTTTACAGTTAATATACCTATGCAAAATAATATTTTACTATTTAGATTTGAAGCCTAGTAGTTTAGTCTCACATATATTAATTATGATTGGCAGTAATTGTATTTATGTATACTATTGTATGTGTTATGTATAAATTGAATAGAATATTATTTATAGTAATAAATATTTAACGAGAATTAATTATTTTGCTTTTGCATGCGTTTTGGTGATTGTTTTTGTATTCTGCTTAAAATGTAAAAGGAAGATTGCCAAGAAGGAAATTAGGAAGCTTTATAATGGATCGGCTTCGTATATTTAATGGTAACGTTTTGTTGTTTTATTCATTTTTTCAATACACTTCTTCAACTGTCATTAATTTTCCATGCAAAATCTTACGTAATTCGTTGAATAATTTTAATGATAATATACGTATTACGATTATAAATTGTAGGTAACACTTGTACTATTGACGTTGACAAAGTAGAGGAAAAAATATATTTAAAAAACGGGATGGCAGAATCAACAAAAAATCCAATTGAATGTCTTAATAAAGAACAATCAAAATATGAGACGAATGAAATCGCAGATATTATCGTCCAACCAAAAGATGAGACAAAGACTGTCTTAAAAAATAAAGTCCCATCAAAAAATCCGAAAAAATCCACCGAAATAAAAGTTCAATCTAAAGATAAGACGAAAAAAAATCCAGAAATTAAAGTTCAACCTGTAAAAATGGCAAAAGAATCCGCTGACAGTGAACGTGTTAAAAATCGTATTTCCCGAAATGTCGCTATAAATCGATCATTCAACAGCAATTCGAAATTGGAATTGCTCAGGTATAAAATCAGATATACAAATAAAATTGTGATTTTTTTCAAATAAATTTTTAAATTGTAGACAAGAAAAATTTGGAACCATGACCAAAGAAAATGGAGAGTTACCGAAGCCTAAAAAGTTAGTGGAACCATCTAGTGATAATACTGATGGTACTTCAGTTGTTAATGGAGGATCTATTAAGGATAGGTTAGTAGCTTTGAAGAAGAGTGGTCAGATGGATTGGCAAAAAAGATTATTGAAAATAAAACCAGAGGATCACGAGGTGTCAAATAATTCAATAAATGTAAGGTAACTAAAACTAATGTTTATTAAAACAAAACCTAACTGTAGTATTTTAGGAGGCCCAAGATATACTTCGTAAGCAACTTACTAGACAAGTTAAGTCTACTGAAGAACCAGTTGAATGTGTGGATAACATTTTAGTTGATCGACTTAATAGGCTTGAAACTTCTTCTAAGGATTGGAAAAAACGAGTTGAACAAAAGGACACTAATAATTTTACAGTAGCTGGGAAAATGCAAAATAAATCTTTACCACCTCTTGCGCCTATTCTTCTGTCAGTCACTCAGCGTACCTCATTAGAAAAATCATCTTCAAGTAATTCAACTAAACTTAAAAATATTTATCAACTTTAGTTAATTATGTTTATTTATATAGGTGTAATGAAAAATAAAACAGGCGATGAGTCTACCAAACAAATAAATATCCGTCGAAGTCTTTCAATGTCTGATAGTAAGACAAAATCTTACCTCAATAACAAGTCTGAAAAAATACCTTTAGAAAATGGATTAAATAACATAGGAAAAGAAAAAACCGTTAACGTACCAATTATGATCGATGATGATTTCGATAAATTTTTCGGCAGTTCCGTTCAGACATCTAATGACGGTCAAATAGAAAATGTAGATTTTGATCATTTAAAATCGACACGATCTAATTTGTAAGTATATAATATGTATTTTCGTTATGAATAATTAAACATTATGAAAATAATAGACTTTTAGGTTATGTAATATTACCTATATTTTTTATTTTCAGACTCGTGCAGCGGAAAAAGGTTAAATTTAATCAAAGAAAACACGAAGGGTCAAAAAACCCATTAAAAGCATTAGCGACAAATCGTGATCTGGCCCAGCAAAAATATACAGAAAATAAATCAAATTTATTATTACAACGTAGTTTGGAAACATGTAAGTATACCTTTAACTTATATTACATTATGTATTCATTCTTGTAAGTCAACATTATTATGGTCGGTATTTAGCAACTATCAACACTCCATTGGCTCGAGAAGCTCTTGCAGCATTGGCCAGTAAAGAAGATTTTGCATCTGTGAATCTTCGGAAGTCTGGAGATTCAACTCCTACTCTATTACCACCGTACAAAGATTTGATGTTGCTACATATAAAAGGCCGACGTCGGGTTCAAACTCGTCTTGTTTCTCCGTCTGCTGATTCTATCAATCAAGGCGATTCCTATGTGTTAGTCACACCTTCACAAGTATGATTTACTTCATATATTTGTTATAATTATTATTATTATTGAACGCCTTATAAAGGGAATAGTACGAAGACCACTTAATACAAGTAACTATTACATATAATAATACTATCTAAAAAAAAAAAATAATCTATTTTATATTATTATACATAATAATACCAACAACAATAATTTTCCAAAATCTTACTAGTATTATAAACGCAAAAGTTTGTTTCTTTGTTACTCTTTCACGTAAAAACTACTGAATGGATTTTAATGAAACTTTACAATAATATAGCTTATACACCAGAATAACACATAGGCTACAAATCATCCGCCTAGGTCCAACCAGGGGATGTGCTCAAACGGGGATTTAGAGATTTACGGTGGAAATTTTTTTTTTTGTAAATGGTTGCCATGGGTTTTAAAACTATTATAATAATGATTATTGGTTGCCGTGAAATCAGTGTATTAATTCAATGCGTTTAATTGTTTTGTACGCTTTGTTATGTATCACAATTACGTAAATATTGAGCGTATTATACTCACATATAAGTTACGTACATGGTACATAAAACAATCACGATGCCACGTATTCGTGGACAAGGAGAAAATATTGGTCGACAGACTCGGCATTCACAATTAGTCCAACCGTTTAGGAGGAGTTCAGTTACATACTTGGTATAACTTTGATACTTTAGAGTTAAATTATAAAGTTACTTACAAACATCACGGGGTCAGCGATCTACCGCTGTTAGATTTCCTACCTGATGAGATAGGTACTGCTGCGAATCAGAATTTTTATTCCAGGCAACGGAAAAGTAAAGATACATTTTGAACACCATACCCTGAATATTAAATAACGAATTGAACAAAGTATATTTAGAGTTGATACATTTAACTGGTAACGAAGTGCACGGGATCAGCTAGTATTCATATAAATCGATGTTTGGCGAGAAGTAAATTATATTTATGTTGATATATTATATGTTTCAAGTTAATTCTCAATAAATTTATTATAGCATAGATTTAATATATTTTATAAAATCAAATAAAATCGAATGTATTCTGCGATCAATTAAACTTTATAGCAGCTCCATCGCAGACATTAGTTGTTAAACATATCGGTTATAATTTGTTTAGATTTTCGTTTGGATCGGAGAATATTCAAACGTTATTGAACGATCGCATGCCGCTAAAGTGGCTCAAAGCATATTTGACAAGAAAGATCTGGGCTGCAAATTTGCTAACCAGTTGTACACAATCAATTGTGATTCTTCGTTGCCCAATAGTCAACATGAAAAGAAGTTTTGGACTCTTCTGGGCGTCACGTCCAGTGAAACGTCTTCCATCAAAGGTAAGACTTGCAAAAATTATATTCGCTAGGAATGGTTTATAAGATTAATCGTAAATGGATATGTGCTCAGGCCAAGGAGCGGGACACCCAGACGAAGATGAATTGTACGAAGCGGCCATCGTTTCCACAAACGTGGTGTACGAGGTTACTAACGATGAGCTCGTTGTGTTGCCAGAAATCTCGGAAAATATGGCCAAAATAGAAATACTAGATCCCTCTAAAGTGTGTAATTTTTTTATTATTATTATGATCATTATTAAGTATTAACCCATTTTCTTACGCCCCAACTTCGATCGTTCATGTTCTATTTTTTAGACGTTGGTTTTCGACTTTGGTAGCGAAATATATGTGTGGTACGGCAAAAACGTGAACGTCGCCAAACGCAGGCCGGCTATCCACCTGGCTCGTCAACTTTTCGACGACGGTTACGATTATTCGCAATTCGACGTCAGTCCAATCGATGTAGCCACGTGTTTGGGTGACAGAAGTGAGTATTGCAGTAATATTTTCCAATTATCATTTGTTAGGTGTTTTTACGTGTGTTTGTCTTGCTTAGATAAAGACACCGTCTACGTCAAGTCGGGAGCAAAGAGGCCTGAATGGACGCTATTTGCCAAGATAACGCAACATATGGAGACGGTGTTGTTTCGAGAGAAGTTTTCAGATTGGCCGGATTATAGTCGAGTCATAAGATCGTCGAAGAAGAGCGACGACAAAGAAACTGGAGAAAATGACACCACATGCGTTAGTCTGATCGTTATAATTTATATCATGTTAATATAATTTATCGTGAAATATACATTAAATATTGAAACTTTATCCGTAGATCGATTGGTCGACCGAAATAAGCGCGTTTGACGCTGACGAGATGCTGAAAATGTCGGTCAATGAGCCCGATTTGGTCTTGGAAGGTAGTCATCTCGGTCGTGGGTCCTCGTACTACGATAAAGAGGTGAGTTGATGGACTTTTTTAATGTATGATATCATGTGCGGTATACATAATGTTTAACAAATTCTGTGTTCTCATCATTGCAGACTTTACGAGAGTTCGTCATAAACACCATGGAGGTTACCGTATGGCATGTCCGAGAATTCGACAGCACCGAATTGGGACCCAAATCTGCTGGTCAATTTCATAGCGGTGACTCATACATTATTCGGTGGACATACAACGTTTCTATTCAAGGTACGTAATAATATCCGGTGACAAATGATCCGCGACATTTGGTCCGGTGAAAAAATATCCTGTATCAAAAATATCCGATGATTTTTTTTTTATTGTTGTGCAAAATATGGACAGTTTTTTTTTTAATAATTACACAAATGAATATAATCTAATGATCGAACATTTTTTAAACTAAAACATGTTTATATTTAAGTAAGTTTAGTAAAAATAAAAAATAAATAGAAATAAGTCTTTAACCCTCCAATGCATGATTTTTTTTTATTATTAAAAAAATTGTTTTTGGATAGTACTAAAGCTATAGAATACGTAAAAAATAAAGTTATGAGCGATGCCTTTTTAAATAATTAAGCAAATTGGTATAATCATAATTTTGTACAACATTTTTTAAACGTTTGTCAAGGTCCTTATACTTACGTTTTTTGGCTGGATTAATCTCACCTAAATTAATTTTCTCGATTTTTGCCTCTTGCAGCCCTTTTACTTTCTTCAAGAAGTTGATAAATTTTCATATCGTGGTATGGTGAGATCCCAAACTTGTATTAAAAGCATGATGCCAACTCTCAACAGCGTTAGTAGTCCGAGGAAAATCCATAACTACATCATTAACAGTTCCACATTTCTAAGGGGAACATTGGATTTTTTCTTCTTCTAACTGTACGCCCAATCCAAGTTTCTTCGAAATACTCTACTATTGGTTGAAGAACTTCTTCATTATCAATAAAATATCGGGAATTCATAAGTTCTTCAAAAGCATTTGCTACATCTTGAACTGAAATAAAAGCCAAAGCACACAAGTGTTTTATTTAGAGCGCAAATAAAGAATCTTCTCCATATTTTTTTTGTAGACCATTAGTCTGTATTTTACGCCAAACACATTGTCCAAAATGGAAAAAAACATCCTTTTATTACTGCATTAGGAAAAGTTTCGCCAAATGCAGAAATAAATGGTTGCTCAAAGTCTATGCGGATCGATAATGGGTTAAAGTTGTTGATTTAATATTAACAACGGTCTTAGAACTTCAATGTAACTATTTTTGTATGTTTAGTCATCAAGATATAAACTAATGGAACAATACACTTTTATAGCTATGTATTGTATATAACTGTGAAAATATTGACGGAACCGTTTTGAAAGTTCCGTCACCTAACCAATTATCCGATTCTTGAAGCAAGTTTAAATTAAATTTAGTTATAAAAATTAAAATTGTATTCTACTTTCATTATTTCCACTATCGTATGACAGGAAAAGATCATTTTTATTTGAAATTTATATATTTCTGGTATTATAAGATCATTAGCGTTACTAGGATTTACTGGAGGATTTTCTTTAGTTATTCTTATCCGTTGAATTATTCTCGACATCGATTTAATAGTAGGCAGTTGCCAATTACTGAATCAGAAGCTTCACCTAACTTAGTTGAGATGATGTTTCTAGTTGAAAATTTTCCATTAACCGCACTTTTCTTTATTTCATTAACTAGTTCCTCAGCCTTTTAGAATCTCGCCTATGAATAAAGTGAATAAACAAATAGTTTAGAGAAAATTTAAGAAAATAGTCAAAATATCAAAAAAAATTGTTTTATTTAAACGAGAATAAGCCAAATCATGGACAAATAAATCCAATAAATTTTGACTTAAGGAAAAAATTCTACAAATATATGGACAGTATATGGTTAATTTACTTTCGCTTTTAGGTCTAAAATACATAAAAAAAAAAATGACAGGTACTTTAGTCTTCTTCAATTTTAAATTTAAAAAAAAAATTATATTCAAGAAAAATTTCAAGAAAATTATTTTCAAGCAAATTGGAGCAGTTTTAATATCTTAATTTTTAATTTAAATTACCTGATTCATCTTCTGAAGTAGTGTGACATCGGTTTTTGCATGCAAATTTTTTATAATCAGAGCAACGCCATACAATTTTATTTTCTTAAACTTCATGCTTGCAACATGTTTTTGCCTTTTAATACATTTTAGTGGCATAATTCAAACTTATAAAAACCACTTGCAAAGAAATTTGTATCGTGTGGATAGCCACAATAAACACTAGGAAAAATTCCAGTATACTGGACAAAATTATGAGGACTATTATCGAATAGATGTAAGCAGATTACAGAATACACACTAAATATGATAAGATTTTTCACATACATAAACTATAATTGACCGAGTGAAGTACAGATAAGATTGATTGGTATTGTGTCTGTCTGTACTATTCTTATAATCTAAGACTTGACGATATCATTCTAATTTTATTTTAAACATAAAACGTACATAATATCTTTTGGTAGTACAAATACAATAATTATTTAAGTAACTATTTTAAACAAATTTTTTAATAATGAAAAATTATCTTTTAGTTCAAAAAATGTTCGATCATTAGATTATATTCATTTGTGTTATTATTAAAAAAGAATTGTCCATATTTTGCATAACAATAAAAAAAAAAAATCATCGGATATTTTTGATACAGGATATTTTGTGACCGGACCAATTGTCGCGGATTATATGTCGCCGGATATTATTTACCGGATCAAATGACGCGGAACCAAGAGCAAAGCATGCTTGCTATTATAATAATTGTATAGAACCTACTTAAAATACCTAATACTGGTGGGCGATGGCTAACATTTTACAAATTGGGTAATGCATCGATATAAAAATATTCACTGGGGGGCGTATACACATTTCTGGGGAGGCGCAAGCAGTTATCACGAAATAAAATGTGTATTTACTTAATTATTTTTATTTTACAATTCAAGGAAAAAATAAAAAATTAATAACGACCGGTTATCGCGGGTGTCGATAAAGATTATGAGTATTTAGCTGCTAAACACTTATAATCTTCGGGGGTACTTTCGGGTACTTAATTGTTTTATGCCGCCACGACTTCCGTAATTTTTTCAAATTTATAAGAGAATTGCGGGATTTTTGAAAATCTACAAAAGAAGCGTAGAATAGAAGGGGTAAAAACCACTAATCTAGTGTATATTTTTATACTAAAAATGAATACAATATTTTAAAAAAAAAATTGAATATTTGAAAGTACATTGTAATCTATGGTTGATAAATAGTAAATACCTTTAATTTTGTTACGCTATACTTGAAAAATTGTACGTATTTTTTATAATTTATAAAAATAATATAAATCTTGTTTGAGGTCTGGCCAGAAATGAAATGTTAGAATGTCCTTGATTTCAATTTTAGGCTCGTTACCACCATTGTCCATTATGATATACGTAAATATATTGTATAAGATATCAATATTTACTCAACTGTATTTTAAATTCAAGTCTATTATCTACAGGTAGAGAACTCAGCGGGTTGCCGTCCCGTCGAATGGTCACTTCTGGCAGAAATCGCTGTGCGTACTGGTATTGGCATGGTCGTGACGCTACCCAAAACGATCAGGGTGCAGCCGCTCTATTGACCGTACAACTAGACACAGAACAGGGACCGCAGTTGAGGATTGACCAAGGTCACGAACCGCCGGCGTTTTGGAATCTGTTCAAGGGGACTGCGATCGTGTATCGTGGCAAGAGAAATGGAACGCCAAGTAATTATTGATTCATTGTTATTATATTAAATTGGATGGAGCTGATTCAATGTTGTTTTATAATAAATTACAATCCTGCTTGTTTCAATAAACAATTTTAAAATAGAGCAATACCAACATTTGATTTAAAACTATACGTGTTTCCTATCTGGAGGATGGTGTATTACTTGTCTAGACGGATGTAATGTGCGGATACCAATAATATAATCGTACCATTTTAGGCATAATATTTTTGACGATAATACACATAAAAAAACTTGATTTAAAAATGCACTAATTTCCTTTTAATAGAAATCCTAATCCTAATACTCACGCAGTCACGAATTCACGATCTATAATAAATAATAATATATGAGACGATTGTAATCAAAATACACAAATTTTAGGCACTTGGCGTCTATTCATGGTCCACGGGTCGAATGAGAGCGAAGCCCATTTAACCGAGGTACTGTGTTCTACAACGCAATTACGTAGCCAAACGTCGTTTGTTCTTCTCAACTCTGAAAACGGCACAGTTTTCATTTGGCACGGAAACGGATCTTCAGATGCAATCAAAGAGGTATGTTTGTTCCTATAATGTTAGATTTAACATGTGGTGATTTACCATAATTTATTCAATTTTATGTTTATCAAGTACACAATTTAGATTTTAATTAGTAACGGACAAGTTAAACATACTGTAGTATAAAAGTTTTATTTTTTTATATCTTTCTATATAAACATAGAAGTATTTACTGATTTATAGTAACGAATCAATCTTGATTCTCGAGTACAGAGTATTTTTTTGTTTTGTTTTTCAATAGTATTATTTTATAAATGAGTCTGGTTTATGTTAAATCTTAAATTATATTTTAATTGTAATATATCCACAGGTTTTTTTTATTTGCGAATAACGGTGTTGTCAGTTTTTTAAGCTTCAAAATTTGTTAGGAACAATATACGTTTATAAACGAAGTATATTTGAACACTTGTCCGGTTGTTATTTAAATATCAAAAATAAATTTCTTAAAAATAGTAAATAACATTAATTATTATAAACTTATTTAGAGTTGGACAAATATCAATTTAAAGATGAAAATTAAGTATTCATTTTTATTATGATAGTAATTCTATTTAAATCTTTTAGTATAAAGAAAAAAATGTAATAGTAAACATTTATATTATACAGGTTAAGACAAGATAAAAATACCTATATAAAAGTTGAGCGTTAAGAGCCAATTATATATGAGTACCTATGTAAAATATTACAATTTAAAAATTCTCGTAACTAGTTTAAAAATTGAAATATTGTAAACCCACGAGGTCGTACCATGGTAAATGTCTTTATATTTAAGTTTGATAATAAATCAATTCACTCTAATATTAAAGTTAACTACACAATATGTTCAGCTGAATATAAATTATATTATGCTTTGATATACGTTTGTAAAACGGAGACAAGAATACAAGATGTATACGTGGTAGGCGTCCATAACGTGATAAATATTGAGTAAAAGTGTAAAAAAATTTAACATATTATATTCCTTTGCATTAGAGATCAATTATGTTTTTAATTAAATTTAAAATTGATTAGTAGTTAAATTTAAAATCAATCCTCCCCAACTTAAAACTTGTAAAACACCGTAATTAATAGGTGCATAAATATGGCCATAGTCTAACATCAATAACTTAATATTACTACAAATATTACTTGTATAATAGAACCGTAATACATTATATATTTAATGGGTGTAATGGCACACATACTCACGTCTATTAACGTTTTAATAGTAGGTATCGAAATTTATCAATTCTTTAAAATATGTTCTTGCTCTAAATCTCAATACAGTCAACTCAGCATAATAACAGTTAATTAGTGAGAGAAAAAACGATACAGCTGTGTAATGCGAGTATGTGGCATTCATCACGTACGTAATCGTATAATAATTTAATTATCATCACGAACGATAATGAATTGTGTTACGCTCGAATAATAACAAATTAATCGAATGATAAATTGACCATTTCGTGAGCTTCTTTTGCTGTTTTCACCGATATAATAAAATATTAAATGACAAATAGTACATAGGTACGGGAGTGTCTGAAATTCACATCATGAAAATATAAGTATGTAAAGTATGCACACTGGGTAAAGGTCATCTTGCGGCACGAAAACTAGCTACTAGTTTTGAAATACAAAATTTTCATGTATTAAGCGGTACTCGTTATATACTTTGGTATTATGTTTACTTATTGTCTATAGACATTATATTATAACATAAAGGGGGATTTACATTTCGTAGTATCGTCTTTCCGTGTACAATATATTTACGAGTATGAACATGTTACATGTTACAATTATTTACCTATTTCTAATTCGGACCTACGTGTCCGTGACCATAACTATAGGACTACGTATATGAAGTTATTGGGGTTATAGATAGCTCTTCTACATCGATATTAATAATAAATATATTCATACATATATACCTAATGGTGTGGATTTAATTTTTAAAACTTTTGTAATGCCATAAAAGCATTCCGTTAAACTTTTGTACCTTAACTAATTTACATTAAGTGTGTATATATATTATTACAGCTATCGTTAAAAGTGGCCGGTAGTCTGTCAAAATTGGACGGAGCGGAATTAGGACTAGCCGATGGCGTCGTGCTACAGGAACCGAAGATTGTTAGTGCAACAATCGAGTCATTAGATTTCTTCAGAGGTACATGAAATGAAAAACTATAGAGGATTTCGAGGCGTAAAAGACTTGAAAATTCGAATAAATTATAATAATAACGACGACAGGCAACCGTATGCATAATATTATAATAATATATGTTATTGTGTGTTTGTGTAATCATATATATAGCTCTGGGATGCAAGAACTCCCGAAGACTCTGCAACCAGCAATTGTCTCGGCCGGTCGGACATGGTGCAAGCGATATGAAACTGTTTCATTTCTCGTCAGTTCTCGGGCAGTTCAAAGCATCGCTGGTGGCTAGTGCATACGTGCCGTCGCCGTATCCGTACTTGCAAGATCACCTGTATAACGTCAGCCAACCAGGTAGGGGATTTGTCGTCATCTATATTATAATATGAAATTAACATTTCAAATGTATTCAATTGATTTTTTTAACAGACTCGTATAGTGTAATTACAAATTAGTTATTGATAAATATTATAGCTAATTATTTGGTATTACATATAGTGGCACATGAATGGTTTTTATTCTTTAAAAATAACCGTATTATATAAATAGGTTATAAGAATTTAACCATGTCTTAACCCGCTGTTTCGTTTTTACGTTTAGCGACGTTCATGCTGGACACGGGCGAGGAGCTGTGGCTGTGGCAAGGATGGTGGCCCGAGACGGCGGTGTTGACGGCGGAGGAGGGCGATGACGCTGACGCGGAGCCCGCTACCTTTACGGCAACAGCGTTAAACCATCGAGGATCATCGTCGACCAGACTTCAAGCCGAAAGGAGGGCGGCCATGCAGACAGCGTTAGATTACTGGAAACGACAATACGGCGACGACGATGACAACGATCCGAAAGTGTTTCTGGTATGGGCCGGACTCGAGCCGCTCCGGTTTACGGACTGTTTCCCGGAATGGCGCGACCGCGACGACATCGCTGAAATCAATATGAAGGTAACAATATTCATCCCACCCTAATTAATTAAGAGGAGGGAGGGGTATTTACAAAAAAAAAAAGTAAAACTGATTAAACAGCTGTAGACAATCAAAAAAGGTGGGCAAGTGGGTGTCGCTCTGCTGTACAGTAGGTTACAAGTGGGTCGCTGTATAATGGATGGTATTAAATTTGAGTTCAATGATACAATATCATTGTATTAGAAAAACGATTCTGAGCGGAGACGGTATGTCAGTCTAGGTATAAGACATATTATATAATTATCTATGGTATTAAAAAAAATTGACCTATAATGAATTCCAAATTAATCATATCTGCACAATATCCATTAGGTACTTATAACGCGTTATACACCAACAACAAACCCTGATATTATCATAGATATATTATAGTAGTATACTGGACGTGACGACAGACACAAAAAATAAATAAATAAAAAAAAAAAAACACACACCATTGTAAAATCAATACATTCATCGTTTCACTCAGAATCTAAAATATATTATATTTTTCTATTATGGTGCAGTTCTTTCAATTACTGTATGGTCGCTATATTACTATCAATACATTAATTAGGTATTTTTATATTTTTTACTTTTCCATAACAAAAAAATAAGGAATATGCCAATTATAATAAATAAACCAAATTACATTAGTACAGACATATAATGTAATAAAATATATTTTTTATCAATTCAATTTTACAATTAATGGTTACTTAATAGTAATCAATATTCATACACTTTCTTCTTAATATCGAATAGCATATGGTTTTCTTCTTTCATTTTTTTTTTATAACTTCGGATTCCCGTATCTTTCTTAATTTACCTGATGTATGAATTTCTAGGTCGTCCAGGGTGATCTTTGCCCTTCCATCATACTGTTTATTATTATAGTGTGCAACTCTTATAGGTGTCTTAGAGCATGTCCAAACAATCGCAACTGTCTCTTCTTAATTAATTTAATTAGTGACAATCATCAGAAAATGTTCTTCTTAGTTTCAACATTTTCACGTACTTCCTTATTTAGTTTTCGTGCTATCCAGCTTATCATTTCCATACATCTCCAGCTCCGTATCTCCAGTGCTTCTAGTGCTTGCTTTTCTGCAATTTAACTGCATAAATTGTACAAAAACCTGACAGTATAACTTATAAGATATATTAACTTTTGAATAAATACGTAATTAGATATATTATTAAACTGGGTGAAAAGGAAAGTAAATTGTAAACAAACATGTAGATAAACTAATAGTTTTAATCTTTGCTCTAGACTCTAGAGTCTAGAGGTCGAGAAAAAACTCATTTTTAAAAAAACACATTAATCTCTACCGAGACGTCAAGTAATCAACTGATATTATATAATAAGTATTTAGCTGAAGATAAAAACGTTTGTATTATGGTTTCAGCATAACCACAAGCCTGGTGAGACGCAGCTTGTCGAAATAGAGTTGGCGCGGATCACTCAAGAATCCTATCCTGCTGCCCAGCTACTCCAGAGGCCTCTACCAGACGGCGTCGATCCCACCAGACTGGAGCTCTACTTGTCACCGGCCTCGTTCAAAGTACACTTTACATAATAATTAATAGATAATAATTGATTGATAATGAATAATAACTAATAAGTACCTACAAAGATAACCGTTACCATTCTGATTTCGTTATTTTAGACTTAAAAATAGTCCCACTCGTGTACCTAATGCATTATATACGTTGCTATACATTTGCTTAAAATATTTTATAAGTTGGTACTTACCTAATAAGTAAATAAGATTTAACTATTTATCTAAATTTATTTTAAATCCACATTAATTTCTATCGACGTTTGATGTTCAAATTGAATATTCACCCGTAAAATGGCAATCTCGAACGATTTTTTTTATTTTTTTGTAATTTAAATACTTGAAACATTCCAATATTACTTGATTTACCTATTACCTATTAATAATTATTTTTTTAAAGAAAATGTAATTTTAAAAATATTAACACTAAATTGTAGCTATTTTATAGGCATTTAAGATTTTCGTTTTTTCACATAAAGTATTTTTTACATAAGTGTTAAGTGACATGCTCGGTCAAAAAGCTTATAATATAACGTAAATTTTCAAAACATTTTTTAGTTGAAAAATATAAAATATTTTAAGTTTTTATTTAAGTATTGAACATATACGAGGTTATTCTGTATTCATCATATTCGTATAATTATATAACATATAAGTTGTTCTTACAGCGGTAATTCTGAAAATACACAATTTTATTTTATTTTATAAACATTTGAAGTTCAAATGTATTTGGAAATGTTCGCTATTACGTGTAGTATTATTAACTATAGGTTATAGGTAGGTATGTAATATATTATATTATATAGTCTATACACAATGATATTTTCAGAGTAATTTTTATCAAACCACTCTGGACACCAGTCACTCGTCGCGTCGTAGTGATAAATTGTGGCACGACATTACGACAACCATAATAAATCGATAGTATTATAATTTTAAAATCTGGAAATCATTGCGTGAACAACTGTGAAGGGGGAAACTTTTACGAGGCTGTTTTAAATTGTTATCAATATCTCTTAAAATAATACATTTTTTTCATCGGATCGTTTTGATAAATCTGTATAGAAAAAAATATTTTTTTATTAATATGGATAAAAAAATTTTGTTGTGCGCTCCTTTAAAAATCTATTGAGATTAATCTGCTAAAAATGGTATAATGCTAAGATTCGAAGACCTACAATCTACATGGTATTATATTTCGGGAACTACAATATTTTAATCCAATTATAGTCCCTGAAAATTCTCTTGATATTATATAACACGACATACATTGGGTGGAGTGGAGTATAATTGTTAATTGGATCAATCGTAAAAAAATGTAGCTATTATTATATTAATATATTATTTTATCTCAACGACTCAATAGACAACAACCTGAAAGTTTAACAAACGTATTGTTATATTGCGAACAATTTATAATAAAAAATAACCTCTATGTTTTGTAATTTTTGTTCTGATAACACATATTATGATTTTGATTATTTTACAATCAACAAAGCAGTATATACTTACCCAGTGGCCAGTGCTTTAGACACGAATTTAATATGGTGGGGAGGGGAAGGGCTAATTCCCCCAAATATTATTTTCAAAGCTATCCTAAAATTATGATAACAATAATTTTTTCCCCTCATACAGATAGACGTTCCTATGGTCACTGAAACAGCCTAACTTACTACTTTAAATTCAGAAATCGCCTTCAAAATCATACCAACCGCCATGGGCATGCTAAAAATCTACCATTCATCTCCGTCTCTAGAACCCCGGTCTAGGCGGCTCATCCCAAGATCTTATTGGTTAAATACACAATTTCCCTAAAAAATCTATAAATTCTTAATTCACTCTAAAGTACCTCTCTGAATGGTTCATCACTTACATCATTCAAGCCACACTATATAAAACATCCATTATACTTATTGTACTATTATTTGTAAAGATTGTATTAGTTCCACCACCACCCCCCCCCCACAAAAAAAAACAATGAAATCCTCACATTTAGGTTATCAGCCCAGGGGCATATATTGATGAATTTGAGAGTATCCGCTGCAACTTGTGCTGTGTTCGTTTTTATAATATATCTTACCAATGAAAATTTATAAATATTTAATCAAAATCAGTTCGTTTTTTGTGGCCTGTGGGACTTTTAAGCAGAGAACAATTTATAAAATACCCACAACAATATAACATTTTTTTTATTATACTATTATTAATCAATTATCATAATTAATATTATATAGTAATCCTCTATAATAATGTAAATATTACCCAGTGTACTTCACTATCTATATTAACTACAGTATACCTACAACTAAACATATTGAGGAAAAAAATTATACTTGATAAATTATTTGCCACCTGTAATATACATTTATATACCTGATATATCTATAGTGTATTATTTTTTCGCAGGGCTTATTAGACATGAACAAAAATGAATTCCTACAACTGCCGAAATGGAAGCGTACAAAAATCAAACAGTCTGTTGGTCTGTTTTAATACGATCCGAAATGAACTACTCAAATTATATTGTCGTTGAATTTTTTTTATATGTGTGTATGTGTGTGTGTGGATTAAAAAAAATGTATTGTGTATGCAATCTTGTATTTTTCTATTGTGAATTTTTATTTATTACATTTTAGAGGTACAATATATTTTTTTTTTACTTATACTACACGATGAGATGTAACAAGTTACTAAAACAAAACATTATTTGTATAATATTATGTTTATAAGTATTATTTTACATTAATGTTTTGGTTTGCTGACGTTTAATAACTTGTAACACTTTATGTATAACACGTTTTTCTAAACACGAGTTGTGTGCTATTTATTTTTTTACTTTAATCTGAATACTCAACATTTTTTTATTTATATAATTACAATAATTTGATGTTTATTTGTTTTGTTTTATTTTTAGGCTGTGATTCTTTGTAATAACAATATTTTTCAATTAAAGGTCTCAATATTTTCATACTTTTCTATTAATATTTATACATATTTATTTATATCAAGAACAATTGAAGCTCAACTTAATTTAATTCAAATGTACATGTATTTAATATTACCCATATATTTTTTAATTGTAATTTAATGCATGCGCCTCCTGAAACCAATTTAGTATTTATTTCATTACTTATTGAAAATTATCATAAATGCAAAATGTCTAAGTCAATATACCGTGTAACGGCTGAACACCACCTTCGTGTTTGATGTAATGTCTTACTGCAATATTTTGTTTTTGATTCAATAATATGTACCAAAAACTGTTCCTCTGTAATTACATGTCACAGATTAAATGTCTCAATATTGTTACATTACCACTATCTGTTAACATGTGGTTACTGCAGATGAACTACACTATATAGACAATTGCACGAATGGTGTTGCAGCCACCTTTAAATTAATGATGAACATTTGACACTTAAGATAATTCTTTTTTACCATAATTTCCCTTGTACACCAATTGATTTATATTATGATGTCCTCAAGTTCCTTGATCTTAAACCAACAACAATTGTTCCGTGCATAGACTTATAATATACTATGATTTATGAGTATTGAGTCCATGGTTCAATGTTCCTTCAATATTCTTTCAGTTGTAAAAAAAAAAAATGTTTTTCTTTTGTATATATATAATTTATGCTGTCTCCAATCAATCGGTACAGATTCACTCTGTGAATTACTAATATTATTAATACACTACAGTGTGACATTTAGCTTTAAAATTAATGATATTGTTTTTTTTTTTTTTTAGTTTTACTGCAATATTTTGTTTTAATGTGTTGTTTTACCTACCACAAGCAACTATTTTTATATTACCTTTTGTGATTTCAATAATGTTGTCAATTACATTCGTCAAATTATTTACATCCGTAACTAATAATTTTTTAACATAAATAAATAATATTTGTAATAAACAAATACATTGGTCATTTATATTTTCAATTTCTGTGTTGCCAGATATACAATTGATTTGAATAAATTTTTTTTTTTTTTTTTTATTGATCGTAAGCCCGGCAACTATGGCCATTAGCTGTATGGTGTTTTTGAACGTTGTATTGTCGGTAGGGATACCGATTGCCGGTGTGTTGGGTTTTTGGCAGAATTTTCAATTTGGGCATCCGTAGGTATCTGCCATGCCCGGGTGGGGAATGGCGGCACTTGTTCTCCGGACACCGTGACTTGCCCAAAGAAAAATGCCACCCAGTGGCTGGGAATCGATCCGGCGGCGGCAGCGTAGCAACCGACGCCTTAGAACACTCGGCCACCTCGTCCCCCTTGAATAAATTAAGTATACATATAATTTATATATATAATACTATATATATAAATTTATAAAACTACACATGAAATTGTAATTCTGACATTAAAATAATATATCAAAAATTCATAGCAATTAATATAAAATATATAATATGTATTTATTATTTAATTCATAATAATATATCACATTTAAACACATTTTTAAAAGTATTTAAAATGTACTTATTCAATAAGTGCAATTTTGGTATAGATAATCAATATTGTTATTATTAAAATGTTTCTTCTTTATTGTTGAAGATGACATTTTTATTCATTAAAAATCATAATATATAATATGTAGTGAACTATCAATAATTATTTGTGATGCATCTTATTCAGAAAAATAAATAGCTTCTTAGTTCTTTATGTATACAATAAAGTATAATTATTGACACATTTTCAAATATTTGTACGGCAAAAAGGATTAAATATAATTTGTTTACTGTTTGAATTATTATTATTATAACCTTCATAAATTGTATTCACCAATACACAAAGGCATAAGTTATTGAACTTTAAAACAAATCGGGAAGCCTTCTTCTTAAAGTGTGTAGCAGAAAATATTTCAGTATCCTCTTCATCATCTAAATAATGTTGGTTGGAAAATTTCTTACATTTTCTTTCTGCCCATTTCTTCATCTGCTGTTGTGTCACAACAATAATCAGTATCATCTTCGAAGAGCTTTATGTTTTTTCTCACCTTTTCAATAATTTTTTAATTAAATCAAAGAATTTTGAACCTAACCAGTAACCAGGATATGTTGCATATTATTTTCGTTCATTGACTAGTTATATGTTGTACATGGGATACTTCGATAAAGACAAATTAAATATTCAATCTGAATTTCAAAATAAAGCCATTGTCTATTTTTAAATCAAATAGTACCATACTTGTTAATTGAGAAGGGACGACTGGGGGAGAAGATCCACTAAATAAAATTAGAGAAATGCCACCCTCAGTGTTTCGTAATGAATTTAAAAATATTAGGTTTTCATTATATAAATAATATATACTCCAAAGGTCTATTACTATTATTTTTATAATATACTAGCTGATCCCGTGCACTTGGTGATTAAAAATTAAAAATTAAAAAATGTATACAGGGTGATTCTTTTATCATTGAACACTCATTATTTCAAAAAGTATTAATGTTTAAGAAAATATTTTTTTACATAGTTTCAAGTTGTTAAAAAACAATATTTTTACTAAAAAATTATATTTTTAAATATTTTTTATCCTTTTAATTTTTTAAGTTTTTTACTTTTTTGAATGACAACATGTAATTTTAATTTGATATTCAAAAACAGAATATTTTTCTGAGTATTTCGATACATAAAAATTGAATTTAGGGCAATTAGTTTATGAGTTATAAGTATTTAAAGTTTAGATGAGCGGAGTAGAGTGGTACGGGGTTACCCCGCGAAATGTTTGTCCACTACTCCGCTCATCTAAACTTTAAATACTTATAACTCATAAATTAATTGCCCTAAATTCAATTTTTATGTATCGAAATACTCAGAAAAATATTCTGTTTTTGAATATCAAATTAAAATTACATGTTGTCATTCAAAAAAGTAAAAAACTTAAAAAATTAAAAGGATAAAAAATATTTAAAAATATAATTTTTTAATAAAAATATTGTTTTTTAACAACTTGAAACTATGTAAAAAAATATTTTCTTAAACATTAATACTTTTTGAAATAATGAGTGTTCAATGATAAAAGAATCACCCTGTATAATATATATTCATAAAATATATTATATGAATATGTTTTATTTTATAATATAACGGTTACCATAACAACAGTTTTAAACCTATGGCAACCAATAATTATTATTATTATAGCTTCAAAACCCATGGCAACCATTTATAAGCAAAAATTTCCATGGGAAATCTCAAAATCCAGGTTTGAGCACCTTCCGGGGTTGGTCCCCTCCCTTTTTAAATTAGCCTATCTTCTTCCTAGAGGTCTAATCTATCTCTGTACTAAATGATCCTGTGCACTTTGTTGCCCGACAACCTATAATTATTATTATAATAGCTGCAAAACCCATGGTAACCATAGCAACCAAAGAATACACACATACACACACACACAGACAAACATTCTATCTCCATTCTCCAGAAGTTGGTCGCCATGGTTATATGTACCAATATTCACACAATATAAATAAAAGTTCAAAATTAATTTAAATGTATCAAATATCCAACCAGGGTTTTGATATTATAGTTAGCATAATGAGTAGTTTTATAAAATATTAAGTATTATACTATTATATAATATTATAAGTATATTATGTAAAGGCAATAAATAATAAATAATAATTATTATAAAGTAATTAGGTGATTCATTATCATTTATCATATTTTCAATTTCGATAATATAATTAGTCGCTGAGTTGAAACTACAAAGCTATTTGATAAATGTTTTCAATTATCAATATCTTAAAAGAATAAAAAATACATTTCTCAACATGCAAAGAATACCTTCAGTATTCATATATAAATTTGAAAAAATAATAATGAAAAAATCAAAATTAACTGCAATATTGTTGTTTTCATCTTCTTTTACTAAATTTTGTCATCTGTCAATTCTATTATTTTACATTGAATTTGTTTTTCATAGTATAAGAATTTATAATTTTAGTTTTCATCATGTTAGTGATTTATATTTATAATAATTTTACAATTTCTTTTTTTTCATGCAATTCGGTATATCTGATTCATGAGCATAGTTGATTAGTGTCACGAAATACCTACAATTTTACAAGTCGTGTGAAACTTATTAATTATTATATTATGTCAATCTTTTAAATTAGGGTATGTTTAAACAATTTTTGTATGACTTCAAATATATATCAATATCTTACATGATTAAATAACCAGTGCATGTCTAAATACATGATAAGAAACAACATATATCAGAAAACTCATAGTTTTTATATTACTTGTACAAAATACATCATAATGAAATTGAGTAAAATAAACGCTTACATTTTAAAATGATGCGCTTAACTGGTTTGCTATGTAAATGTAAATACACAATTTATTATTTCGAGGAACTTGATTTTTATTTTATACATTATCGAAATATTTATCATTCGTTCTGGAAATGTGTATTTGTAAATTATAGTATTGGAAAACAAAATAATTTTTATAAATACAATCTGGTAAGATTTTTAAGAATAATAATAGAAATCAAAATTTTGAGCTGTTAAAATTAAATTAAACATCCATATATATAATTTGTTTTTAATGAATGTATATAATAATAAGTGTTGTATGGAAAAAAATCGACTAGAATCACAACAACACACGATCAACCACCGAATATAGCTTCTTTTATGGAGTCTACATACTGTGCTGGTACCCAGTATACCCAGTAACGAGATGCTTCTGTTGTTCCCAGCTGGAAACCCTGTTATAAAAATAAACAAAAAGCATTCTTTAATGTATAAACATAAATATTCTCATATTGTATTACTACATATTAGTATAATCAATTATTTCTTTAATTTATGTACAAGTAGCAATTAATATATTTATATGATCATATAGATTAATTCTGAATGCATTTATAAAATTATTACTTATTAAAATCTAAAATCTATAGTTGAATGTATTATTTAATATGTTGTAAGTTATAATATTTCAGTTTCCAAAAATTAATCACTATGACCAAATTTTTGTTAATAAAAGGTTCAACTATCAAATGTAATGAATTTAATAATTTATTCTTCTTGTGGCAATGCTTTAAATATTCTTAAACAACTAATCCAAGTACTTATCAATTAAAATGGGTTGAAAAATGTTTTGATGTTTGTCAAATATCAAACAAAACCAAAAGATCTATAAATTTGATTATCCTACCCACAATTACAAAACAACATAGATTAAAAATATTTTACAGAACTTAAAGAAGGTATAATGTATAAACTGTAGTAAAACAATCTATTTTTATTGGAAGAAATATATCTGTCGTGTAGACAAACGAGTTGTTGATTTTTATGTTATTGAAAGTTAATTATCAGCATACTTGAATGTTAAAATATAAAAGATAATATTAATTGTATAATTAATTTACAATTTATAAGTAGCTATCTGCAATAATATAGTTTAAAAGATACAATTGTTAAAGACATTTAAAAGTAGATTAAAACTGTATTTAGCCATTAAAATTGTTTATAATCAATCTATACCTATATTCCTAGAAAACCCATTAATTATCAAAGCAAATAGTTTTTTACATAAATTGTATGTACTATTTTGAATAAAAAAATGAAATAACAATATCTTGGTTTTACTTGAATATCAACTAGGATTATTTCTAAGTAAATAGAATACAAAATACCTATATACAAATCATAACAAGGTTTTAATAGAACAATTATTTTACTATATTTTGTAGATTGTAGTATTAGGTATAATATGTACGTGAAGTTTCTGAGGACAAGCTAAAATCTGTTAAAACAAGTTATCTGAAACTAGATAATACATATTTTGTATAATTTAAAGAATAAAAGAGGGATTTTATAAAAACTAAACACATAAGAAATCATTCACTATAATCTTTAAATAACTTGTTTTTAAGCATAATACTGTCGAACATATTAGATATAGATAATATAATTTATTAATTATTTATATCTACTGAGTACTCACTGTATAAAATAAGCAAAGACTTACCACTATATGATACTCTTCATGTCCTTCGATTGGCTCACTAACCACATGCCTGATTGTATTCATAGCAACCTTTTGAGTTCGTTCTTTAGTACCTATCCAAAGTTGATCCACTTCCAATTTAAATGTCAGTCTTACTTTTCCCCCGTGCTTATTAAGCATTCCACTTAAAGGGTGTGGTGGTAATGGATCCTAAAATACAAAATATTATGATTTACAATAACCATAATTTCAAGTGAAAGGGGGGGAGGGGGGGCATCATATGTTTTCACCATATGGTTGTTGTCAATAGTTTAACAACTACAACATTTTAACATGTTAATTAAATTTTTTATTTTCAAAATAGAAAAACTTAACTATACTCTGTCCTAAAAGAGAACAATCACTTTTTGCAAGATGTGAATGATGCGATTGGCTTGTTGAAAATTACGCTAACACATCCACTCCAGGCCGTTGGTGGGAGAAGCTCAGCACTGATAAAAATCGATTGGCAGACTGATTATTCTCTTTTGAGACAGAGTATAGGTTAACTAGATAATATCACTTAAGTAGCATTTTTATTTCATAGTGGCTTGAAAATTAAATTATCACAAACACCATGTTAAATATAATATTTAAATAAATTATTAAAAATTATTTTTTCAGAGAACATTCAATAATACAAATCAGTGATGGGCAACAATATAATATTATGTATTGAAATTGTTTCGATTTTTCCAACATTGTTTCGCGATTTAGAAAATTGTACGATATGTCAATATTGATATTGTATTGAAAATACACATTTTAAATATTATCTACTTAGTACTTATTAAAAAGAATAATTAATAGAAATGAATAAATATTAATATTTAATTGATAATTATTAATTCCAAAATTTGCTTTACCTAGCTAATTGAAGATAAGAAAAAAAACTAGTTTCCAATATATGCAATTTTCAATAACTTGTTTGTATATTACCAACTATGTAATTACCGATTTGCGTTAATTAATTAATAAATAAATAAATATAAAACAATATCCATTTCGAGAATTTATCACAATACCAATATTGTTGCCCATCACTAATACATAATATATTGATTAACTTTTTATTAATAAATATAAGCAAACCTTGATATTCAAAATCCCAACCAAAGCATCATCGGGTATACCTCGCTCCAACACTTTTAGATGCAATTTTTTCTTACATAATGGTTCTTTAACAGATGAACCCGATTTTGATGAACCCGATTCCTAAGAAGGGTACAAGTATTATAAATTTGAAATAATTTAAAAACAAATCTCACAAACCTCCTCAACATTTGCTACAGATACAGCTACAATATCTTGTAACTTTGCGCCGACTACCATTATTTTGGAAGAGGAACTAACATTCAAAGACTCTAGAGTTTGATCATCTTTTGCCAAACCCTTGATCATGATTTTTTGCATCTTGCTTGGTACGCCTATCATGTCAACCAGTTTGTCTTTAAGTTGCGCAATTGTGGACAATAATGGCATGGAAACTGTGTATTTGTCTTTGTTGTGTATTATAGTGAATTCAACGGACGGGGAATCAAGGATCAAATCACAGGCTTCATCTTTATCAGCAGATTCTGTCGTTTGCTCCTCCACAACACTTTCGGTCGTTGTCTCATTTACGGCACTTTCAATAGATTTCTCCTTTGCAATACATTCAGTAGTCTCTTCCTTTACTGCGCATTCTGCTACTTTTGTTTCATCTTTGGCCTCGCTGTGACCGTTTATTTCTTCTAAAATCAGATACCAATATACAAATTTTATGAGTCCAATGCTACAGTACCAACACCCATTAACTACAGTTACTCACCAGGCGACTCCATTTAGCTGTCCAACAACAAGTACCGTACAATGATAACAATGTAATTTATTCTAAATTTCAATCCACCAGTCCAGTTCCCACATTGATTAACTCCTGTCGATCGGTTAATAACGGACCTGAGCCTTCTGTCGAGGGAAAACAATTTACGTATTATCGACAAGATGCAGCAACACAATCAAATTTCGACGGATAAAAGACACATCGAACGTCTACTTGACAAGTCACTGTGTACTTTTAATACTTTGTCACGATGATCATCATTTATTAAACAATATTTAAGCTGGTAAACGAATGATACGAAATTTTTTGATTACCGTGTTATCTTTGCGGCTAAGTGGTAATCTGTGCCCTGTGGTGGTACTGCGGTAGTCGCTTATCAATGTGACGGACAGTGCAGCACCCACAGATATAAAATAATATATCTGTGGCAGCATATATATATATATATAATTATATCTGTGGCAGCACCTTCGCGAGAACAAAAGAAAATTCTCGGAATTACCTTATTATTGTTCTATGCTATAGGTAAGGCTCTACATAATATCTATAGTGCCCTATTATTGGCAGAGCCGTGTTAGGGGAAGGGGGGCATAGTTTTGTAAAAGTAAGGGGGCGCCTTTATTTGCGCACCTGAGGACCAGATTATAGGGAAGGGTAGCGAATTGCCCCCGGGGCGCTGAATTGCTTGACACGGCTCTGGCTATAGGGTATCTATTATAATCACAATATATAGACCACAGAAAAATAATTTAAATTTAATATTTATTTATGTAAAAATCACGAAAATTAGCAAATTATTTTGGGTTAAGAATTCGTAAAAATTTTTCTTTTTAAATCTAAGATTTGAAAATGTAATACAAGATTCCTTATAAGATTATCTACCTTTATCAAAAAAAAAAATGTCTATAAGAAAGTCAAATTAAATTTTTATGAGCGTTCGAAATTCGTAATATTTAAGTATAAACGAACAATTTCAAAATGTTTTAACTTAATGGATTTTTCTAAATCAACTGAGAAAAGCTAAATTATTTAAATTGTAAATTAAACTATTTAAGTTCATAAGTTGATTAGAAAATAAACTAACTAGTTAAATAAAAAAGTTAAAAAAAAATTAACTTTTTAACTGAACTTTAACTTTTCAACTAGTTAATGCCCACCTTTGGTTATTTAGTATTTATAGACATTTGAATGCTCTGAATGGCTGACACACAGAAGTCGGGCAGTCGGGCTTACCACGTGGTCTCTATAAAATAATACAACTAAATAGATATCTGCCCTCTGCGATCCGCGTACCTGTCCACTGTGGCAGACCGCATACTGTGTGCCCGAGCTATTTTTTGATGGTTTTTTTTGTTCGACGCGGTCCGCAGTTAGGTAATTGTTATGTTTACACTATTATAGGGAATTTTACATTTCTACACAATACACTTACACTCAGTGGCGTATTTACGGGGGGGGGTCATTGGGTTTGATCCCCCCCCAAGGCTTGAGTTGAGTTTTTTTTTTTTTTTTTTAAATCTAAATTAGACGATAGTCCGGGAGCCGTCGAAAGAGTGAGGACTGAGGAGAGCGCGCGAGAAGCTGCTGGCTTATTTTGTAGTATTTCTGGACATTCTACTGGTAAAGAAAAATTTATCCTTGAAAAAAAAGGAGTAGAGAATAATATACAATCTTTATGTGCAACTATTCCTAAATTGTTATATAATGGATCATTAGAAATTAAATCTGCCAAGTTTGTTGATGTGCAATGCCTAGCATCAAAGTATGTTCCACCTGAATACATTTGGTTCTATAGATCTTTAGTTGAAGAAACCAGTTCTAATCAAGATAACAATGGTACTATATCCAATGATGAAGATGACTAGGTATTAAAAATTGTTACTCAGTTTTAATATTAATATTAAAGAAAATATATTTTAGAATATTAAGAAATCAAAATGATTATTAGTTTTGTTTTATTAATTTTATTGTTTTGAAGTATAATTTTGTTTAAGATTTCAAATTTGAATTATTATGAGTGATATTATTTATTATTTTTATTATAAAATTTAAGAATCGAGGAGATTATTAGTTTTGTTTTATTAATTTTATTGTTTTGAAGTATAATTTTGTTTAAGATTTCAAATTTGAATTATTATGAGTGATATTATTTATTATTTTTATTATAAAATTTAAGAATCAAGGAGATCATTAGTTTTGTTTCAAATATTTTACTGTTTAACTATGATTGATAAAAAATCAAGTTAATTAATAGTTTTGTTATAAATATTTCATTGGTTTTTATTATTTTATTTGTTGTAAGATATTATATGTAATGACTGATAAAATCAAGCTGATAAATAAAATATCCATGTTACTAATATTTTTATTTTACTATCTTTTACCATGTTCATATCATTTATAATGTAGTTAAATGTGTTTACATTCTACTATGACTAATATTATTACCTATCGCTATCTTTAAGGTATGATAGCCAGTTTTTATGTAAAATTAAATGAATAACAATTTAATTTTTCAGTTAACATAATACTAAGTGGTTAAAGTAGAAATATTACTGAAGAATAAACAAAATTCATAAAGTAATATATTTAAACTATATATAGCTAAATATTATTAGTGGAAAAACTTATGACTTCTATACACTTACTAAGCTTATTTTAATAAATTTATTTGTATATTTATCAGAGTTAAAACTAAAAACAATAAATCATTTTTGGAGTTATCTTGTTTATTGTCCAGAAATTATAACTATTTTTTTGTTTATTTTTAAAATCATGTACAGGTTTAGTTTTTTTTTCTTAAAACTCAAGTATGCTGTTTGATAGTATAATTACATGATAATTATTAACTCAGTTAAATAAAAAAAACTAATTCTTAGTAAGATTTTTACATTATAAAAAAAAAAAAAAAAAAGATTTAATAACTCCGAGCAATAAACAAGACAACTCCAAGAAAAATTTCTTATTTGTGGCTAAAAGTGTAAAAAATATTCATGTATCAACTTAATTAAGGGTACCACAGTTTTTATCACTATTTTAAGTATATAAAATAATTTTTCTTTTTATTATTCTTCACTTAAATATATATTAAACATTAAATATGTGCTTCCTGAAAAAAATGATAAAACGGAGCTGTCTGGTTATTGCACAGAGCCCTTCAATTGTCCAAAACATCTAGAAAACTAGACTTTGTTTTGTAAAATAAAAATAAAAAAAATTGTAGTAAAATTGTAGTTTTATATTTAAGTATTTAAAGTTAGGGTGGTGAGGGGTGCGGAGCCCCCCTCGAGTTGATAAGTACTGGATAAAATCATATCCCCCCCCATGAAAAAATCATAAATACGCCACTGCTTACACTTACACTTATTTTCATGTACGATGTACCGACGGTCGCGCTGTCGGTTTAATCATTTAAATCATTCTGTGTTTAACATCATTAAAATTTACAATTAATAATGTAATATAAATATTTTATAAATAAACTATTCATTTGTGTTACACTGTTATTACTTTAATAAAATTACTTTTATAAATGGTTTCAGATGAAAATTGATAGCAATATAACCATTGATTAAATATTGTATATTTAATCAATGATATAACTATTTAAAATATGTTGTTATTGTGAAACAAATACATAACGAAAAAAAATGATTTAGGTTCATAATATTATATGAATTATGAGTAAAAACATATTATGTAAATTAATATTTTATATAGATTTAAAATACAGCCAAGTAAAATCTTGAACTTCAATTAGCCCCCCCCCCCCCCTTGGTGCGTGATAAAATCTGCCCATGTAACACTTATAAACTAAAAATCATAATAAAGTTATAATAAAAATTAGGAAGAACTCTGGTCTGATATTTCCTCAGTGATATTTAAACATTTTCTCTGATTATTAGGTAAGTATGATGACCTGTGCGAGAGACAGAAATGATAAATGAAGGAGAATAAAAGTGAAGTCTTAGTTGCCTAAGATATGAAAAGGAGTGGTGAGATTTTCTGAATGCTTGGTGTTGAAAATGTAAGATAATAAAGGGATGGAAGTTTAGATTAGGTTAGTGACTTGGCGAAGGGGTAATCGGTGGGCAACTCGCAACTACCAGTGATTGAATCACCATTGAGTTTTTTAAGAGGTGGATGGGTAATGATTGAGTAACGATTACGGAAGAAAAACCAAGGTGCAGTACTTGCGGAACGAAACTATAAGAACTCTCAGTCAACCACATAATATGCCTCCTGCAGCACCCCAACACCCTAGTGCAAGTGTGCAACACTCGAACCTGATGTAGACAGCACCACGCTAGTTTTAAAGTTCTAGACAAAATTAAATTGTATAACTTAATTTAATAAAAAAAAAAAATGTATTACTAATGATTAATGACCACTGACCACTGATACCGATGTTAATTAACAACAGAAAAAAAAATTGATTTACCTTTGGACACCCCAAATCTCTTCGCATTTTTATTTTTTGGTACCATATAAATAAGTTCATTAGTAGGTCATTGTAATTAATTATTTTCGATATTGCCTATTTGAATTATCTGTGGGTACCCGTGTTCGCAACCCAATATTTATTTTACATATTTATTTAATGAATTAATTTTTTTATAAACATTTTTATACTCTTACAATCTATCTAACCACTTAGAAAACTTAATATTTTTTTTGGACTTAAAAGTCAGATTAGAATGCATTATCTTATAGCTAGTTATAGGTACTGCTGTAGTACTGTGTACATTTTTTCCGATAGCTGTGCTGATGCGCAGTCCGTATATATTATCATGTACACGGATAAGGGTCGTGGTAAATTCGGTCGCTTGGCAACGAGTATTCGTCCATAAACAACAACAACAATACGAAATATAATATATAGTTATACATTAAAAAAAAACTGGTCACCGTGACAAGCAATTTTTACTCGTATGATTACAAACATAATATAATATAATATATATTATACCTAACACGGTTGTACCTATATATATTGCTTAATAGTGATAGAAACACAGTAGTGCGGTACTGCAGTTTTAGTGGGTTATAACGGTAGATGTAGGTACCTATAACAATTTTCTATTATAGATGGACGTATTATGATTTTAAGGGTTTCCCAATATACGCACGATTTCTGTTCAATTTCGATTTTTGGTCGGCGGCTGTGCAGTAAACCAGTGTGAGAAAAACACCATGCGTGCACCGTAATGAACTCAGTGGAACTGCCATCGGGTTGCGGATCTCGTACGCTCCGTTATGGCCGAGCTTTTCATCATCGGACAACTGTGTAGCGCCGAACAATTTCCGTCCAAGAGTTTATTTTGCAAATGGAGCGTTCACGCTGGTGAGGATAAGTTTTTATATATATATATTATAACGATGTATTGACGCTGTTCTGTTGTGCTTGTTTTGTCATTATTATTTGTATAGCAAAATAACGTTTGTGCACTAGCAATGATCTATTATACACACACCGGACACACACATATATATATTAATATAATAATATATACTCTATGTAAGCATTAAGTGTGCAATATATGCACATAAATATAGCCTGAGAGAGGAAATTTTTTTCCGATTAGATTCGAATGATTCGATACCTATCTATATATAGTAGGTATATACATTATATGATGATATAACTTTTTTTCACTGAAATCCAATCTTTCTACAATTGTGTGCAATGTGCATTGATTAATGATTTCTTAAATAATAATGTATATGTATTAAAATTGCAGCTTTTTCCCGCCAGTTGTTTATAGTTGAAGTAATGAGGTGGTTGATTTTGATTAAAATACCTACCTATACTTATTAGTTCATTATTTTTTTATAAAATTTTCGAAACTTTTGCAGAGAAGAGAGTGTATAACCGTTCAATTCGTATCTTATAAATTATAATATTAGTTTATCTTATGTTAATATTGTCAATTTAATATTTATTTTAATGTCGTTTTCTATGACTAAACATAACATACTCACTCAGGTACTAACTGGAAAATTATATCTGGTCACAAAGAAGGACAAACCCAAGTGGACTCGCCGTCTTACGATAGCAGAACCTGGTGGTGTCACCCGATCGACATTCACTTCGCGTCCAAAGGCATACAAGGTACATAAATTATAATATTAAACTTGTTAAATTTACGGTTCTTTTAATGTATTATATCTATACTCTATAGGTACTCATATTGTAATTAGTTAAAAACTTTATTTTATATTATACAATGATGTCAACGTTGTTTTCCGTTCCTAGGTTGGCCTAAATTCCACGTGCAAGTATATCACTACGACAATTACGGACGTAGCGAGATTTACGGGTACGGATTTTGTTACGTGCCGACCACGCCGGGAACGCACACGGTAGATTGTCATACTTGGCGGCCGATCGGTCAGTATATAATAAAGTTATAATATAACAATGTGTATAGAAACATATAATTATAAGTTTCAAATAATAATCAAATTTTATCAAATACCTATATGGGTTAATAGTTAAGACTTTAAAACAATAATAAATGGGTTATGGCCTATGGGTAACTATAGATACTAGCGATTAGTGCTGAATAATCTCTTGCAGACCGATTGTGATCTAAGTTCAAATAGGTATCGAATTCCAGAATCTGTTTTTCCTGGTGCCCAAATAGTTTAATGAAATAAGCTGATTCTATAGTTTCAAATTCAATTATAGATTTACCTCGGTATCATATCCATGTTCGAAATTGTAATGTTCATGTGATTTAGAACTTGATTCAAACAAAAATTGTAAGACATATATAGTAATGATATAAGTATATTACTAATTATATTTTAAATTTAAAAAAATAACTGCTAATATTATATTACTGGCTCTAATACCCAAATTAAAGCAGGTTGTGTGCCTGTATATACTATAGCTATCACTTTTATGATTTTAAATCTGGTTTATAATTTTTTTCCCGATACCCTTCACAGAATACATTTTTGTATACAACTTTTAAGATCAATATCATTAATTTATTATAGGTAATCTCAGGGACGAGTTTCGCCGGTTCTTTCTTGGCGGTGGTGCCCAGCTGAAATCACCGGATTTCGTATACTGTGGCACGGACCGCTACCGGTTGCACACCGAGTCCCTAGGATCGGTGCGTTTCCGATTGAACGTGATCACCCGGAACTTTCGGCGGTACGGAGTTGAACTATAAACGATGGTAGAAAGTAGACGAGTGGCTTTTGTCACGACCGTGGCTTTATTGTCGTTCAGCTGTGCGTACGCCGAGACGCCCGCCATCAAAGACTGCTTGGCCAACGAAACGTGCTCGGTGCAGCCAACGGTGGTTGCGGCTGCGGCAATGACGACGGCGACAACGCCAAAAAATGTGCTCAAAACTACCACTGTCGGGGGTAGTAACCCGAAAATAGTTCGTTATGACGTCTCCGGAAACGATTCCAAAGGATCGACTCTCCAAGACGTGGTCGTACAGGTTGATGACAGAAACGTCATATCCCTTGGTGGTGACAAGGCCAACAGTTCCGGAAAAGCTACTTCTGTCAGCTCAAACGTCACTGTCGTCGTTAAACCTTCAGTTGGAAAAGCTAACGCTACGGCCACTGAAACGAATTTGCAGGTAACAAACTCCACCAATACTACCAGCACCAGCACCACTGCTACAGAATTTACTAGTGTTTCACGGCCAAAATACTTGTTTGAAAACGGCGCCGAAGTCGTTCGTTTCGTTCCCTATAAATACTGCCACTGTGACCTAATCGTAAGTATACCAAATCGTTTTGTATTAAAATACCACTGCAAAAAAAACTAGATAGGCCACTTCACCACATTATCTGTTAAACTATCCCGTATATCATCATATTGTTACTTAGGGTACCTAATTTCCTTATGCAATCCATTATATGTGTAGAAGTTTTATAATACTTATTATTCATAGTACGGCAGCTGTGACATAAACTGTTGTTGCGACACAGAGTGCACTAATCACGATTTGAAGACATTCACATTGTGTCCCGATCAAGTAAAGTCTACTTTGATAAAGCAAGAATCAATCTTGTTCGATTCTTCGTTGTTTTACGTGGTGATCGAAAACGTACCATCGGATTATTTCTATCCCGAACGAGACGTAATTATATACCTATTTTATATTATATAATATATAAGTACATAAATATGTAGATATATGTTGTAAAGCTGCTTGTTTGGGGAAACTTGTTTTACAGACAATCGAATCCGAAACGCAAGTAGCAACTTCTCTTCGGAAACGCGACATCTTTACTTGGCGCGATGAAAAAGCCATAAGCAGACATCATTCTTTCACTTCTACACTTCCAGTGGATTCCTCCATATACAACAACTATGACCTTACTTACAAGTCTTCGCGATGGATGTTTAACGTCGTGTCTGACGTAAATTCTTCTGAAATCAAAACATTTGGTCAGTATACAATTGTCAGTGTATCCAGTGCAACCACCACCTCCACGTAAAATGTATAGCGTTAATAAGGTTTTCCTTTCATCAGGTTTGAAAAACAGCGCTCTCGATTCACTGTGCAGCGTGGAACAACCCGTTGAATACTTGAAAACAAAGGAAACAAACTGCAAGACGTTCGTTCCTAATCTGACAGACGTTTGTAACAACAACTCATCGTTGAGCTTCAAGCACTACTATGGAGAAAAAGGGCTGTTCAAAGTAATGCAACCCATTTACAATAGCGTCCACAAGACCGAGGTAAAGATTCTATATTACACCTTTATTACGAGGTTTATTATATTATGTTAATTGCAAGGAAGTGACAACTATTTCATGAAAATTACGTAATGGGTTCGTAGAATATTTTAAAAACTGATCTATAAAAGTGTATTAAAAAAATATAAATTATTGTTATATCGCAGAAGGTACCATTGCAAATATTTAACTGTGTTGATTTTTATACCGATATCGATGATAAGTGATAAATGTGAGACTTTTGATATTTGCAGAAAATCGATTTGGTCACCATCCAAGCCACAGCGCACCACCACTGCGTGTCGATGAACGGATCGTTGTACGATTGTCAGGTTGGAAAATTCGGCGTTGGTACCAGAGGTAACGACAATCGTTCGCACTATGATCCCGTTTACTTAGGCGGTGTTTGCCATCGGGTCGTCGACGGGGTCGAGTACTTGGTGACGCACAACGGGTCTAGGGGCGTCCGCCGGGTGGACGTGCACTTCTATCACCGGGACGTACCGGACGCCGGTCGTCCCATCTACCTCAATCAGAGGTTCGGCGTTCGATTCGCCTGGGCCACCGTCGGGTCAGCGGTGGAGTCGTACGAGCGGAGTGGTAAGCCCGGTTACGTGACCGGGAGCCCAGTGCTGGTCACCATGGCCGGTAAAGGCGTAGTGAAACTCCGACACCCGAAGAAGATGTACTTACCAGAAACGGACGGGTACGGTAGGTGTATTCACTCCACCGAGCCTCGGCAGTCCGTCAACTTCTTGGAGAGCGTCGACGTCCAGTGTCGCGTCCGGGTCCGACGTCAAAATATGCAGTTGTCCAAGAGAGCTGATGATCATTCCATACCCAGTGGCGGTGTCTTGTTTGCAGACATCTGCAACTACATTCAAAACGAAGTATGACACAACATTCTTATTTATTGTAGGTATTATACTTATAGAGTATACACAGATACACACACTATAGAATATAAATTATCATCATTATAACCTGTAAGCTTGTCTGATGCATACCGACTGGCAACAACAATATTGTCGTCGCACTCATCCGAAACGGCTCGACTGATTTTAATCAAATTTTTTTTTGTATTTTTGGTGGGTAAGAGAATATGTCGTAATGTAATTTTCACCCTCCTAGATCCAACCCAGCTACCAGCGAGGCTGATTTTCACCCAAAAGGAGTTGAACGATCACAATTTTTTTAAAGTTGTAATTTTTTACTGGTAACGAAGTGCTAGGGATCAGCTAGTATTATTATAGTAATGTAAAAAGTCCGTACCTATTATTGACATTAAAAAGTTAAAAAACCCGGTATAACGATTTTTATCATTCACGCACGTAAATTATTAGTAAACACAAACATTAGTTTCTTTTATTTCAACTTCAATCACGTATCGAATACATTGTATAGTAAACCAAAGCTTAAAAGTCACAAGTTTGCAACATAAACCAATTATAAATACTAGTCAATTATTTAATGTATAATTTTGTAGAGTTAAAAATAAGACCTTACAATTAATAGTATAGGTACCTATTGCGTATATTTCATATTATTATGTATTGAGCACGGTTTGAATATAGGTACCTTTGCATATTTTAACCGCGGTATAGTGTCCATCTTATGAGGATGTCGGTTATTAGTATTGGATATTTTTTTTCTCTCTCTGATTCACGCGCAACATAGCAAATATGCATTCAGCAAAACCTATATATACCTTGAGTTGTTAGCTGTAATATTGGAGTGAATTTATCTTTTATAAAACTTATATTTAAGAACGTTAAGAACTATATTCTTACATTGGATTTTCTACAATATTTCAATTTTAACACATAATATGAACATTTTTAAATATTATAATTTTGTACATACTCCCATAAAACTCCTATAACTCCCTAAAAATTTAAATATCGTAAAAAGGTCCAACATAAAAACACAGAAAGTGTTCTTAACTTTAAGTTTGATAATAGGTCAATTCACTCGGACATATGGTATATTTTGTTCTGCTTTTCTGATTTTTAACTCACCACGATATCGTGTTACAGACGATGGCAGTTCTCGGAGATTACGAAGGTGCCCTGGTTGCCAGTCTCGGCGACCCAGACGTGACCAGATGGATACCGTTCGTGGTCGCCAAACCACCAGTACAGCAGTCACTGCTGTCTGAAGATTTGTGTCCTGCCGTGACGGATGGCGTGCACATACGGGTGTTATACTCACACGTGGGCCCTTTCGACGGTCCGCGGGCCACCGTGCTTGGAGTGCTGACCAATTACACGGCGTCGGCCGTCACCGTCAGCGGCGGCCATCGATCAGTGGCCGTTGAAGTGCCTGTGAGGGTCACCGTGGTGTACGTGGACCTGACTCGGCCGCCCATCAGGACTTTCGCCGAACCACCCACGTACGAGTTCAGACTGCCCGAAGACTTTTACTATCCGTTCTGGTCGTCCGGCGCCGCCCGAGTCTCGCGTTCAGTTCACAAAGTCTATTTCGTCGTCGGTCTGCAGGTCTTATTGTCGCATCTACACTGCTACTGATCGTAGCTTTATGACATAAGTGCCAAAGCTGGTATATAAATTACATGTCATTTGGGCCACATTCAGTAGGGCATAAGCGCCAACATAAAACTATATTCAATATAAAATGTCAAAAGCGCCAAAGAAAAAAAAATAATATAACTTGCACCAATAATAATATTTTACACAACTATATTACTATTGAATTATATATTTTATATATTTTAAAATATTTAAAATCTTCAATAATCAATATAAAGTAAAATTATAATCGTAATGATAAAATAATAGGTAGGTACTATAGGTAGTAAGTATCTAATACAAATAAAAATAAATACCTAAACATAATAAAATTTTTTCATAATACAAATTGTCTACTTATTTTTCCAATGTAAAATTATATCCTCTTTAGATGGACCTAAATTTCGATTCTGAAGAAGAATTTAGAATTCATAAATAAATATATTTTCACTTTATAATTTTAGTAAGGCAGACATCAATAAATTACTATAATATTAAAATAATATATTATACTGATCAATAAGCAACATAAAATTTGTCTTTTAAATGCCAATGATTCAGCTGCATATTTTGTAGTTCGTATACCTAATATTCTTATCCGGAATTTAAGCCCAAATTTATTTCTGAAGGATAAGTACTAGACTCTCTCTAAAATGTAACCACTTGCAATTTGTCTTAAATATATCTATATTTTTGTTAATTAAATAAAATGCATAAAATACCTTTATTTGTAATTGTTTTTGTAAAAGAATTTTATGTATAGCTTACATGAAATACGAATGCTTACTAAGTACACCCTACACACCAACAATATAATGTTATAAGTTATAACACAAAAACCCAAAACAAAATATATTAAAATATTCCAATCGTTCCAGTCAATTTGCCTTCGTCTCATTACAAAAGCCTCCTGATACGTCAGCAATCTCTCCCTCCACTCTGACCTCAAAATCCCAACCATTCATTAACTAGCCTCCCACTATTATAAATCATTTCACAAAAACTCATTCAACCATTCAAACCTCCTAATTTCAAACCTCTCCTCTTTTACACTTCCTGAAAACCTACCACGCCGTCTTAAACGAATTTAGCCCAGGGACCTCCTTCACATTTTTTAAAAAAAAACATCCTAGAATTATAAATTAGGGTCATTGGACCCTTCTATCATGTCGTCCGGTCCTGTATACTTGTATCCCCCCCTGGCCCCCTCATATTACATATTGTATATAAATTCTTGTTTTCTAATAAATCATTTAAAAAAAAAAAACAAAATCTGATGCTCTATCATTAACAGATATTACATTAATTATTTTAAGGTATCTGAGAGTTTGGCGCTTATGTTTTCCACCGAGTTCGTATTCGTCATGCACTCATGTGTATACCTGTGTAGTTTACAAGAAGTGTATATAAGAGGCACAATATACCCTTCCTCTGCGGACAGGCTGTCCCGAACGCGTATTAACAAAGGCTCTATAGCCCCAGCGCCGTATATTAATACGCGCATTTCATTGGCCTATTTGAATTTCGCGCCAACATATTATCAATTATCGTTTTTCATTTAAATTGCGCGCTTTTAATTATTATTTGATTATTATTATAAATAATATAATAATATATATTTTTCGTTATTAATTGTTATTTCTATTCAATTAAAAATGTCTTTACTTGAAAACATAAGAAGACAAATGAATGAACATTTTATATGTGTAAATGTGTAATTGATTGGTCAAAGTCAGACTTAGAAAAACAAAATATTATTATTAGAGTGAACTTAATTGATATGGAAAATGCAATTGAATGGGTGAGTTTATTTAGTTCAATATCAAATAAAAAATTGAAACGTCAGTTTTGAATTTAAAAATCCACAAAAGTAAGTGCAGTTAATGTAGTAGGTACTACAAAATTAAGCAAAATAAATTGATTAGAATTTTTTGGTTGGCCTCACAGTTTATTAGGTTAAAATATTGAAAATAAATAGTAAATAAAATGTGAAAATGATTGTAGTGTAGAGCAGTGTTACTAAATAATTCGAAGGTAGGAATAAGTATTATTGTACAAAAAATGTTGTAATTTATACTTAAATCATTCAGATCATTAATGTAAACTAACTTCAATAAATGTATCAAGACAATATCCCCCCCCCCCCAAAACAAGGTACATGAACTGTTAACTAGCAGTAGCCTCTAAAATAAATTGTTTTCAATACCTAGTTAATATTATTAAATATGATTAATTTCAAAAAATAAAAGAGATGTCACATGCCAAGCATCTTTGGATATATTGCTTAAAAAAAATAATAAAAATACAAAAAAAAATGATGAATATCTAAAAAGAGAACAATCACTATGTGCAATAATTAATTTAAAACTGAATCATAACCATCCCATAAATTCATGTGGGGTATTGAAGTTACTTAGAGTTCCTAATGAGGTCAGTATGATTATTATTGTTTATTTCTTCGAAAAGATAATGTGTAAATGAATAAATAAATATGTTTATAAGTAAACATAATATACATTTTTTTATAAATTAAAGACTCAAGAAATATTTCTGTCTTACTTTAATGTTGGGCTTACAGCATGTGAAGCTACGATTGTAGCATAAATGTGTCTTAAAGGTGTTTAATAATGATTATTATTAAGGTATATTATTTATTTATTTATATATAAATATTATGTTGGCTCAAAATATTGGCTACTTAAAAAAATATATAATACTTAGATAATACTTATAATATGTTCCTATGTATTATCTAAGATATAATATAATATAAAATATAATATAATATAATATTAAAATTATATTATATTCCTTTTTTGCAGTGAAGAAACATCTGATTGTATATGTCTTTAGATTAACTAAGCCATTTCAATTAAATAATTAAATATATAATTATACATACAGATGAATAATTGAGTAGCCAAATACATAGGTAGATAGGTATCTAATTTAACCAAGTCAGTCTATTCTCATAAAATAAACAAAGACATTACTCAAGAATTACTGGTCTGATTATTAACTATAATAATTGTATATAAGTAATAAGTATACTGTGGTATGGCAAGGCAGTTTTTTTTTAGCCTTGGGGGTTGATAATGGTAGATTTGTAAAATGTATTCCTTCTAAATTATGAACTTGAGAATTGAGATATCAGCAAATATTGGTATACATCCTGATTTTTGTGGGTGGGTGGGTAAAAATGGATAAAATATATTTGGGTCCTTCAATTAAAATTGTTCACAACGCCACTGTAAGTATGTATTAAATTAATAATAAAACCACTTATGTCATTTTAATACAAATAAACTTTTTTATAATATAAATTATAATTAGTAATATTATGCAGTACCTAAATCATGACTAAAACAAACGTTTTTAACATAACACTTTTTTTTAATTAGATTTACAAATTGCCAATTGGCCATTTTGAAATTTTCCCAAAAATTTTAATAAAAGTTATATTTTTTTTTTATAATTGATTGGAACAAAGGTTAGTTAGCTTATTTAATTTGTCAAATCTTTCGTTACACCGTGTATACATAAATAGTTAAATAGTTACACTGCAAGTATACGTGTGGTGTGTTCACAGCATATTTTAACTTGACGATAAAATATACTTCACATTTTAATATTGTACCTATCTATATATTGCAATATAATATTATAATAGAGTACAACTATAGATTATACTCACTTATCCTAGTGCGTCTACTACTCTGCTGTCTAATCGCTAGGTATATAGTTAGGTCTTAGGTATAGGTACCTACCGTGAAGGAAATACCATTGTTTCAGTTACTATATAATCAATTGTATAATGCTTTGTTTTGTCGGTTGTCAATCAGCTGTATATATATATAAATATATTATAGGTAACATATAATACTATCCGGCGTGGTCCTTGCCAAAATTTGTTTTTTGGCATAATAATTTTTACAAATTTATTTATAAAAAAAAATACTAATTTCTAGTTTCTAGTTTTCTACTAAATTATAATTGTGACTAGTCCATATTTTAAGCTTATCTTAGAGCAATTTAGTATCAGCTACTTCTTTTAAATTAGATTTAAAATGTTATTGGTAGAATACGAAAATAATATAATATTTCCAAAATATTACAATAAAATACCTACTTAATTGTAAAAAAAAAAATAATTAAAAAAATTAAAAATAATTAATTGTATAAACACAATCGTGATGTGTACATTGTACATTGAACCGTTATAGCGGGCGTTACCGATAAATATTATAATTAAATAATAAAAGCCAATTACCTACATAAACATAAGTATAACCATTGAAAATATATTGTATAATATAAACTCAATGGTACAGTAGCGTATCTAGGATTTTTTCAAGGGGGGGGATATAAAAATTTTGTAATGTGTAAAAATAATAATAATAATTAGTAGGTTGTGACTAGTCCATATTTTAAGCTTATCTTAGAGCAATTTAGTATCAGCTACTTCTTTTAAATTAGATTTAAAATGTTATTGGTAGAATACGAAAATAATATAATATTTCCAAAATATTACAATAAAATACCTACTTAATTGTAAAAAAAAAAATAATTAAAAAAATTAAAAATAATTAATTGTATAAACACAATCGTGATGTGTACATTGTACATTGAACCGTTATAGCGGGCGTTACCGATAAATATTATAATTAAATAATAAAAGCCAATTACCTACATAAACATAAGTATAACCATTGAAAATATATTGTATAATATAAACTCAATGGTACAGTAGCGTATCTAGGATTTTTTCAAGGGGGGGGATATAAAAATTTTGTAATGTGTAAAAATAATAATAATAATTAGTAGGTTATCATAATCTAGTATAGTTTAATTTCTAAAATCTAAAACTACCTAATACAAACTCTAAAAACAACAACCGATTGGAACTTTTATTAATTATCATTGATCACGGACTTCAGTTAACTTACAACAGTCGTGTATGATTCAACTATTCTGGGTATTGTGTTAATATTTAAGTTGAGTACCTTATTCTACCTAAATTAAAATGTATTTTTTTCGTGACGCGTGTTTACATTAATCTTTTAATTTGATCAAAATATGACTGGGTTGACAAAAAATAAATGGGTTGTGTGGCTAAAAATATTAAATTAACGCAAACTGCTCAAGAATCGAAAATAATTTCCGGTATGTTTAATAAACAGATAAAACTTGAGGTGATAACTAAGCAATAAAAAAAAATATATTTTTATTTAAGATAATATTAATTTGTAAATATATTGTATACCAATATAAGAGTAATAGAGTATGGACAATAAGTGAGGAATCAGGTAAAATTGATTTATAGATAATGCAGTTGATATATTTTCAAAAAAAAGAAGATATCCTAATAAACTACTAATATTTTCGTTTATCAATATAAATATAGCCGTATAATAGTTTGCCGACATTTAACTGATATATGTATACAATTGTTTTTTTTTTAAATGTCTGCTACCTTATATTTAAAAATTATGTTACCTAGTTAATAAAAAGGGTACCATAAACAAATTTAAGCAGATAATATGTAGTTGTGAGCAGTTTTTTTTTACCCATTCATCGGGCTGGTCAAAACCTTTGCCCCCTCTATTGAAAAACGAAATGATGCCACTGGTTGTATGATATTATTGAATTTAATACCATTCATTTTCGTTCATAGGTTAGGTTTTAGGTGAGCTGTTCAATCTTCATACAACTATCAAATAATTGTTTTAATAAAATTAAAAAAATTAAAATAACCTTCCCGGGGGGGGGGGGATATGACCCCCATATCCCCCCCGTAGATACGCCACTGCAATGGTATTAGGTAAACAATATTCCTCATAATTTAATTTAGCAAAGTCGAGCACTGATCGAAGTTTTCTTCAATGATGATCGTTATTCTTTGGTAAAAATCGGAGAGGAACTTACCGTTGGCGTGTTTCAAAAATATAATACCATACGATTTTCAATATAGGTGACAAAATCTTTGTCACAAAGATTTATATCTGTATGGGTACTTACCGTGTTTCTATAGTATCGTATTTGTAATACATATGTATATAATAATTGATTAAGTTGGTTCAATGGTTTTCGGTTGAATAACAACAATTCATACATAAGCATGTATATTATAAGACGTAGGTACTTTATATTATATTTGCATATAGATTCAATAATATTAAGATATTGAAAACAAACTTACGATACTTACAAAACTGATTAATTAAACCAATATTTAACTAAGCTTCACTAGTTTGGCATAAAAACATTTTTTGTTCTTTGAGTGTGACATATATAATTATATAAATATTAAATAGGTACATCTATATGTAGGTACTTATTAAATGTGTCACACTAAATAAATAAAAATATAATTTAACACAATCCTGAAAATATTATCATCGATATACCTAATCTAAAGCGATACAGCCAATATATTATTATGTGTAGGTTAGGTTTATTTATCAGATGAATATTCATTGATACTTGTCCTTAATGTTGAGAGTACAAGGGCGGCTTTCGGTCTCAACCAAACTAATTCTGCATTTACTAGATTTCTATAAAATTATAATAATATAATAATAATTATAAATTATTATATAAGTTATTGTTATTATATAATACTATGTCTGTAATATTTATTTTATAATATGCTGTTGCTTACCCAGTTACATATCCAGAATTAACACTAGAAACCTTCACTATCAAATTAAGTGGTAAAGTATTTCTAGCTTTTAACAAATTAACTGTTTCTATTTCACTTCCAAAGTTAACTACGATAATGTATGTTGGATGATCATAAAAACTCCTGTAATAAATTATATTTTAGTTTTGAACATCGCAGTTGTCATATTAATTCACTAGGTAACCCCGATGGCGCCCGCAGATAAACCAGGGGGGGGGACAAAGTCAAAAGTCTGTGATAATACAGAACATACAGTTTTTTTTTTTTACAAGTTATAAAAATATAAAATAATTAATATTAACTAAAAAAAACTGGGGGGTGGCGCCCACGGGAAACACAAGTATTCAACTAAATAAAAAATAAATAACTTATATACTTCGATTTAATCATTATTATATTAATTTAATTAAAAATATACGTATATTAATTAATTGTAGGCTCTCAATATAATAGGTATGTGGTCGGTCAATTACTGTGAGTTACCGTATTAAAAGTATTGGTTTGTGGTCTACAATACAAATTTCAAATTTATATTATTAATTAAATATAATTATTATTAAATACAGTGATTTTACATAAAATAATGTAAACAAATTATTATGATTTTATAGAAAAATAAAAACATTAATTATAATATAATTGTTATTTTTAACTGTATAGTTCAACTAGGTTATTTATTTTTTTATTTTAAGTATTTGCAATTAAACTGTAAACGTATAAGACTTTTCGTTCAGAGTTTTTAAGTGGTGCCACTTGGACATCATCCCTTACTTCAAATTAACAAGTCACAAATACATAATAAAATCTTTTACTTATTTACATACGTATCCAAAATAATATTTTCTTTTATAATAACAAAATTAATTAACTATTTAAAAACGTACCTTGAAAATCCAAACACCCATTTCGACAAAGTGTATAAATGCAAATCGCCTTTAACAAATGTTGGACTCTTCCTTAACTGAGCCAGTTGTCTGTAGATCTTCAGATTACTTTTGCATTTTGATTCTTCTGCCATATTTTTTTTCCAATAGTCTGGATTGATTGGAAGCCATAATTTAGACGAATTGGAAAAACCTACAGTCACAAGATCATTGTATCGACGTTTATAATGGTTTAAAATATGAATGTTATACTCTTATTTAATAATATACAGCATCGTTAATTTAACGATTAACCTGCATTCTTTGAGGTGTCCCATGGGAATGGCGTTCGTACAGGATCTCTGCTATATTGCAAAAACCTATGTGGTCCCACGTTAAGACCTGATGGATCGACGGTTTGATCCCAACGGATGTTTGTGTTGATCAAACCGAGCTCGTCGCCGTAATACGCCACTGAAGTGCCCGGCAAGAGATTTTGAATCATATGAAGTCCGTCTATTAACATTGGATTGCTCCGAGTAGCCACCCTCGGGTTATCGTGGTTACCTAACTGTATAGAGTGACACGTTATGGCGGTAATAACTGTTATCGAGCACAACTGTACAAGATATAATCAGGTGTTTTTCTACTTACTATCCAGTTAGGCCAAGTTCCATTAGGAATATTTTGCATCCAGTATTTTATCATACTATGAACTGCTGCTGCGTCAGATTGTTGGTTGAAAGTATCAATAAATAAAAAATTGAAAGGGAAATGAGCTCCAGGTGACGTTGCATTACCGTAATACAATAGAACCTTGTCCAAAGGCGAGTGACATTCCACCACAAAAATTCTGAACACCAGTTTATAACCGTTTAAAATAAATTGTAAACTATATTGTCAGTTAAAAATTAAAATAAATTTATCTTTAATAACATAAAACATTTGTACAGTCGAGTCACGATAACTCGAATCTCAGAGGGAATACCAATAAATTCTACTTAGAATTTTTCGAGTTGCATACCTCAAATACAACTTAAAAACACTTCTGGGGAAAAAAAAATTGAGTTTTCCAGGCTTGATCACCAATGATTTACAAGTGAATATTTGTATACCTATCTTTACCTACAGACAGCAAGAGTGCAAGACAACGGTAAGAAATAAAAAAGTAAAATTGTTTCTCAGTTGTAAAAATTTGATGATGAATATAGTATGTAATTATAATTTAACTTAATGTTTACTTGGTTTTCTTTTCCCTCGTCCTGTAACTATCAAACAACTGCCTCCATTCATGTACAATTTTAAAAGCTTCCGGCTGATCGACCGTGCTCGTATGATTTAACGAATGGTAATCAGTGTCCAAATAACCGATTTTGTTCGATTTCGGTTCGTCAGCTAAATCTTCTCTTTCGAATAAAAAATTTACAGAATTCATTTTAAACCCATCTACATCACGTCCCAACCAAAACAAAAGTGTGTTCTATAGGGAAAATAAATTATAAAAGGTTTGATTAGCTGACTAGTCAATGTGACAATGTGTATTTTTTGATCGATGAGTGATGAGACTACCTTCATTGCTTCTCTAACTGATGGATTCCTATAGTTCAAGTCTGGTTGTTTTTCTTGGAATTGATGTAAATAATACTGTTGTCGTTGTTCGTTCCATTTCCAAGCAGATCCGCTATTGAATGCACTTAACTGGAATTTTTTAAACCATCATACATTTTAAGCTGCACACAAAAAACAATATTGATCCAATATTCCAATGATCCCACTATTGGTATAAAAACAGGTTTCAGTTTTAATTTGTAACATACCTTTTATTTAGTGTTACTATAAAAAATATAATGTTTTATTTGTTGATTTTACATAATTTATATATTTTTATGTTAACCTATTAGAATAATAATATTATCCTAATAACTATATATAATATATTATATTATGAGTATAATAGTATGTATGACACAATAATTTAATTCGTTTTACTTTAACATAATATTTATATAAATATTAAATTCTACAAGTTAAAACTATTATTGTACTATTATTATTATTATTATCATGCTATAAAAAAATGTAATGATATTTTCTCCTGAACATATAAAGTTATTAGATTTATTATTGTACTTAAATGGAATAGAGAATATTAATGTCTATATAAATTCAAATACATTTTTTTTTACATTTACAAGACACGGTATATCATAACTACTTGACTTTTAAAAAGTTAAGTTTTAGAGACAAAAATGTAAAAATGTTTCTCAAAATCTGACTTGACCCATTTATACCATACGTGTACCATTATTGATACATATTCCATATTTCATATTTCAACCTATCATCAGCTTATATTATATTTTACTGTATTACATTATACTAGTACCCAGTTACTTGGAGGTGTCTTATTGCCATTTTTGTCAATAATCGGATCCTTCCATACATAATAGTTGGTAAAGGGTTCAATTCTCATAATTGATTTTTGGAACCATTCGTGTTCATCACTTGTATGGTTAGGCACAAAGTCCAACAAAACTTTTATACCTATACGCATAAAATCCGCACGAGAAGGATAATAGGTAGGTATAGTTGAATTATTCTTTAAAAACAATTTTTGATTAAGTTCAATGTGCTACCGTTTTTATGAAACTCGTCCCTCAATCGTTCAAAGTCCTCCATCGTACCATAAACAGGATCGATCTCTTCATAGTCCGATATATCATAACCGAAATCATTTTGTGGAGAGAGAAATATAGGCGATAACCAAATTGCACCGACATTTAAACTTTTGAAGTATGATACTTTTTCGGTTATACCTATAAAAATATACATGAGGATCAAACAATATACGTACGTATATGCATAATGTCACTTGTTAGTAAATATAAAAATTAATAATAAGAGTGCCAATTTTTTTATAAAACTTTTCATTTACAACTTATAATTACTCTGTAGAGTATAGGTAATATTATAGACTATAAAAATAAATATTTTCTTAATCAAGTTTTTATATAGGATATCTTACACATATATATTATTATTTGAACATTAAATTAGTTGTATATTTCGTGTGTGGTCGTCGGTCGGATTTAATTAGCTGATGAGAAATATTAATGTCAGTGTTGGTAAAATGCACTTACCGTTCAGATCTCCGATTCCGTCACCATCGCTGTCTTTGAATGATCTCACGTATATTTGGTAAATGGTATTTGCTTGCCACCAGTTTGGTTCAAAGGAGTTACTTAAACTTCCACGAATAAATTCGGATGACACCAAACTGTTTGACACAAACAGCCACAAGACTGCAATAATTTTAAACATATTGACGACATACAAGTTGTCCGGTGTTATTTTAATAATTATTAATTGCTAATGGTCTCAAGTAGACAGTGTGATGTTTGTGTAATGTCAAAACAATCATAAATCAATGACTATTTATTCACTTTGATTTAGTATTTATTACATTATGTCTACACATTTAATCTGTAGGTAATTACACATATTAGTTTGTAAGTAGCTGAAATCGTATCTTATTGAATTAACGTAATCGTTGTATTCAAGACTCAAGTGTTATTTATGACGAATTAAGTATACTCAGTTGACGAGTAGGTATACATAAAAGATGTAAATAAAATCAGTGGTGGATATACTATATAAGTTGTATAAATAATTGTTTATTGTATTTTGGGATTAATACTTCGGGTTGGAACCTTACTCATTAGTCATTAATATTCCAAACCTTTTCAAGTTATATAATCGTAACACAATATGATTTATATAATTATATAATCATACATTTTCCAAATTGTAATACAATTTTAGTTTAGTTGAATGAAATTTACATAACACAAATAAAAAACAAGTATTTTCAACACAGCTGTATTACATTTTAAATTCAAACACTTAGGTAGGTACTGCAGTTATCGTGTTATTAAACTAACGCAATCAGTAAGCTTTAATTTTTATATTAACTGTATAATATTATATCCTTCATGGCTTCATAATATTATCTTATTTGTCTTTTTCTTATTAGTTATTTTTCATGCATTGTGTAATACGCTTACAGCTTATATTCTTGGATATACGCAGCTAGCCAGTAGCCCGGCTAGGGATGAGCCAGATACTTAAAAATGAATATAGCGAGCGGTGCTCGATACTAAAAATATCACTTAATAAATATGTAGTTATGTATACTATAGATACTCAGAAAATATATTCAAAACATACTAAAAAATGCAATCATTTCAATTATGATTATTTTTTTGTAAATTAGTGCATATGACCAGTGGCATGGTGAACATTTATAAACCTTGATGCTCAGCATATATTTCAGTACCTAAACCCTCTTTATTCCATTAATATAATATATAGTACATATAATTATTATGTAAATATTTTAATTTTTGTTGTATGTTATTGGTTACCAATTACCATAATGTACCAAACCACCCCACCCCACCCCCCCCCCCAAAAAAAAAAAAATCCACCATGACGCCTAGGCGTCATAAAACCCCATTCACCACTCCACTGCATATGACCAAAAAACGTTTTATTTAAACGGTAAAAACAAAAATACGAACATTACAAATTTTAATCATCCTATAATATTATTACAATCAAGCCTCCAAAATATTTCAGTTACCCAAACTCATAAGTATAACCGCTCATAAACAAACATTTAAAAAAATTATAATCATCTGAAATAAAAAAAAAAAAACTATGTATGATAAATTAATAAGAGATGAAATCAGTTTCTTATTCAAGTATAATAAATTGCCATAGTGACAACTAAAAAAATAATTATAATACATTTTAACTATTAAAAACGATACAAATGACAGTTATGACTTCTATAACTTAGTAAGTTTACATATGTGGGTTCGACGTTCTCTTAGTAAGAATTATTAAGAACACAACTACCCATCAGCTTATATCTATTCTGTGTTAGTTAGCCTAGTTATTAATAATTATTATATACCATACGATAGTACAAATTAGATATATAGTTATTATACAGCATAAAACTATGATAAGATTAAGTGCAATATTATGTCAACTATTTGATTAGGTATTTAATCTTAAACAGTCGAATAATAATATTACGAAGAATTTAATCGAGAAAAAAATATTATTATGCAGGCAAGGATTGAATAATAAATAACAATAACCTACTTTAGAGTTTAGACGGTTTCAAGATATTTGATAAAATATGGACATCAAAAATATATAAGCTATAGTTATTAATTATTATGAATAATTACATTTTTTATAAGATGAAAAAAATTAATTTCTCAAATATTAAGAGTTTAGGTAAGTTATCAATATTTCAGAGGTGTTAATGGTTACTAATAGGGAATAGCCAATAGTTGAAGTTTCTCCTCGTCTGTATCCTACATTCTCTTGTAGCTGTTTTTTCTTCAAATTATGTCACTGAATTTAAATATTTTTATTAAATTAACTATTAAGTAAAAAAAAAGTTTAATATTTTACTTAAAATGTATCGTAATTGATGAAAGACTGCCCCTTGCCCCCTAGTATCAGATCAATAATAAGTCGAACATCACAGCACTGGAAAATTCGTCAGAAATTAAGATACAGACCGAGACCGAATTATTAATTATGCTGCCTACTATAGTCCAAGGTTTTCAACGATCTCCGGACAAATAGACCGAAGGCGTTGGAAATCTGTGAATTTATCTAATTGTTTGCAGGCGCACAAACGAGTTGTATCAAAATGCCTAATATGGGCTTGCCGACAAATTCCGCAGGCGATGCACCCGAGATCGAGGTGCCGTCCACGACTGATTTAATCCTCCGGGTCTTCAACAAACCCCTTACCAATCACCGAAAACCGTTGGAACGTCGTGATTTAAAAAGTTTGCGAGTGTACAGGCGATTTATATAAATGCCTAATATATGGTCGTATAAACTGTTTTGCGCAGGATAGAACCGAGAAGGCTAGTCATATAACTAAGAAACGAGATTTTCACCACATAAAAAAGAAAACTTTGGCTGTACAATGTCGATTTAATTTTAGATTCTGAGCGGAGCGATGAATGTATTGGTTTTACAATGATGTGTGTTTTTATATTTTTATATTTTTATATTTTTATATTTTTATATTTTTATATTTTTGTGTCTGTCATCACGTTTTGGGACAGTAAAAGTGCTTCGATTTTCTTCAATAGTACCTTTTCTGATAGGAAAGTGAATCTAGTTGGTACTTTGGGGGGTCAAAAGTATAATTTTTCCAGTAGTTTTCAAAAGCGCAGTGAAAAACAAAAAAAAAAAGTGGGTAAGTGGATGTCGCTCTGCTGTACTGTAGGTTACAAGTGGGTCATTGTATAATGGATGGTATTAAATTTGAATTCAATGATATAATATCATTGTATAAGAAAAACGATTCTGAGCGAAGACGGTATGTCAGTCTAATACAAATTATATACATATCTATATTATTAAAAAAAATTGACCTATAATGAATTCCAAATTAATCATATCACAATATCCATTAGGTACTTATAACGCGTTATACACCAACAACAAACCCTGATACTATCATAGATATATATAGTAGATTACTTTAGAAATTTCAAGTACCCACGAATAATATTATACAATCACAACAAAATAACTAAAATCGTAATTCTTGGTTTAAATATGACATTTTGTCTAAATTTGAAATTAAAATGTCTGTAAAAAATAAGTGTGTTTATATATTTTTTAGATTTTTTGGTTACAGTATGAATTATTTAAGAGAATCTTTGTTTTAAATTTTCAACTCTTAGTTATAAAAACTGAACATTTTATAATTTTTTAATTCCAACGATTGATAATTTTTGAGATTTTGATAAATTTTGTCAAAATTCCAACTTTAAATGCTTTTAAAAAAAAATCGTGCCTATGTATTTTTAATATTTTTCAACTGATATTGTAACAATATATCAGGAGCCTTGTATTAAATTTTTACACTTTTTGGCCCAACAGATAAAACTTTATTGATATTTATAGAAAAAAAAACTAAAAAAAATTGAAAGGTGTAAATGTCCATAAACAGCTCAAAAAGAGTCAAAATATTTTCAAAGTTGTATGGTGTATAGAAAATGCTAATTTAAACATTCAGTGAAATTTTCATGTATCTACAGTTGTTCGTTTTTGAATTGCAACAAAATAAGGAAATCGCTACATGAGTAATCGAGTGAAAATCCAATGTTGTAAAAATTTGAATTTCAAACGCTCATAAAAATTTAATTTGACTGTCCGGTAGAGATTTTTTTATTGATAAAGGTAGATAATCTTATAAGGAATCTTGTGTTTCATTTTCAAATCTTAGATTTAAAAAGAAAAATTTTTACGAATTCTTAACTCAAAATAATTTGCTAATTTTCGTGATTTTTCCATATTTTGTCAATTTTTGAACTTTAAATGCTTATAAAAAAAATTGTGACTAAGGATTTTTAATATTTTTCATCTGCCTTTGAAACAATATATTAGGAGCCTTCTATTAAATTTTCAAGCTTTCGCAACCAACAAATAAAATTTTATTGATATTTCTAGAAAAAAAACTAAAAAAAAATGAAAAATGAAAATGTCCCTAAACAGTTCAAAATAAATCAAAATATTTTGAAAATGTTATCGTGTATAGAAAATGCAAATATAAACAACCAGTGAAAATTTCATGTATCTACGGTCATTTGTTTTAAAGTTACACCAAAAACCAAATTCGATTTTTGGAAAATCGATTTTGCGTAAAAATTCCCGTTTTTCCTTAATTTTTATGTTGTTTTTTCCCGGCGCTTGTGAAAACTACTGGAAAATGTTTACTTTTGACCCCCCAAAGTACCAACTAGATTCACTTTCCTATCAGAAAAGGTACTATTGAAGAAAATCGAAGCACTTTTACTGTCCCAAAACGTGATGACAGACACAAAAAAAATAAAAAATTAAAAAAAATTAAAAAAAATAAAAAAACACACATCATTGTAAAATCAATACATTGAATGTCATCGTTTCACTCAGAATCTAAAATTAAGGAAAAACGGAAATTTTTACACATAATCGATTTTCCAAAAAATCGAATTTGGTTTTTGGTGTAACTTTAAAACAAATGACCGTAGATACATGAAATTTTCACTGGTTGTTTATATTTGCATTTTCTATACACGATAACATTTTCAAAATATTTCGATTTATTTTGAACTGTTTAGGGACATTTTCATTTTTCATTTTTTTTTAGTTTTTTTTCTAGAAATATCAATAAAATTTTATTTGTTGGTTGCGAAAGCTTGAAAATTTAATAGAAGGCTCCTAATATGTTGTTT